TCCGTTGACTTGTAAGAATGTGTGTCTAGTAAAGCTAATGGGATCAGTATCAATCATTAGAACATAACCATCCGGTGTTTACTGACCTCTTGGACGTCCCAGGGTACTCGATACGTAAACCGTCGAAGTTTGCATCAGAAACAGAATTCTATGGGTATAAAAAGGCGTCTCATCATGTACCTGTCAAATTATCTAATTAGGCACCAATAAGCTATCAGAGTCATCAGTAATCTGTGATGTTGGTTTCCCATGATAAGTGAAGTACCAAAAGGTTTAACCATTAGGCAACTATCCTCTTTGTTCATTAACGGCCATTCGAAAACTGAAGACTAAATGCGAAAGAAATACTTGACTTTGACGATATCTCTAACTTCAAGTGGACTTATATAGGATCCAAAACTGATGTAGTAGTCAGCACTAGCTTCCTCAGGAATTTGGTACCCTTCATCGTACAAAGTAATCTGGGCACCACGCTTCATGATACTCCAGGTATTTCTTCAAACTGGCATTAAGCGGTCAGTAAAACAAAACCACGTTTGGGGATTCTCCTCAGAATAGCTGGCAGCCTGACTCTTTTTACGGGGTTTTACTAAAAAATCATCGGCCAAAAATACACCGCGTTACTTCTTCTTACCTCGAGGAAAATATCACTCTTCTGGAGCGCGTAAAAATACTGTATATCACCAATGTAGATGGTCTATGTCGAATGATCGGACGCCCACCCGAGTGAGACGAGAACGATGTGACGAACCACCTAACGTCGAAGACACACCTCGTAGTCAACACCTTACATTGACTACCCCATTGACGTACTAAGGTACCATAGATGCCTTGAATAATGTACAACACAGAGGACGTTATTAAATAGATATATTAGTTAAAGTAGATACAAGCGAGACTAAGACCACTGCTGTATGTACCAGTCCATGGCGTACGATTAACTGACGTGCGGTGGTTGCCCTTGACCTTGACGAGGATCGATGATTTGTTCGATCGATACTCAGTGACCCAACTGCTGGATGATTTGGCTTGGGCTTAGCGGAATTTCACTGACCCTGCAATACTACTGTATAACAGTCGGCGTATCCAAGTGCATAAAATCTAAATTGACCAATTTTTGTGAGCAATGAGCAGTATGTCGTACAAAAAAGTGATTTCTATAGGATGCATAACTGATCCCTTTCAACCGAGAGTTTGTCCAGCAAAAGTAATAAAGCCAGAGTCAGTGTTAAAGATGAACAAAACTATATATTTCAAGGGTCTGTTAACTGCGCAAACCCTACACAGCTTTCTCAGGAACTCTCAACAAACAGTCGGTACATCATGGAAGAACTAGTGAGAAATATGATCATGATGCACCACATTCCACTATGACTGAATACATCAGAGACAATTTTCAGTAACCAATCATATGTAGGAGAACAACCATTAAAATAGGACTTAAGAGAGATGTCTTAAAACGACAGTAGTGTCTTTCATCAATGAGTTTAATTTATGGTTTTATTCGTTTATTACGCATCACAGCTTTTGTTTCTACTTTAATTGAAAGTAATATCAAGAGTATTGTTTGTTCACAAATAATTTTTGGCGTCTACACTGTTACTTAGTACAATAGTATTTCCGTTTCCCGCACTTCATGAACTTAACGGTTCATGGTTCGTTTTCTACCAAACGGTTTCTCCTCTGAGTGGGTTTTGTTCAAATTATCTGAAAACATTTGGTCGGTGACTAGACAGTGTATATGAGAAATTTTTAACACATTGACTTCGATATCCGTTAGATACTAGCATGCAATCCAATGAAAATAAAAGATGGTAAGCGAATTCCGCACGAATCTGACTTCTTCAGCTTTCAACAGGCTTGGAAAGCCCAGATGCTTCTCGTAGTTTCATGAATGCTGTCAGGAGCCGTAGCATCAAAGAACTGTTCTGAAAAGTACACTAACAGGAGCAGCCAAAACGAATCTGTGTGCAGTTGTCTCAAATAACGTCGAATTTGGTGGATTCACGTGTACCTAAGAAAGAGGTGCCGACTTCAAAGAGGTCTGTTTTCAACAATATAAACAAAAAAAGTCATAACCTAACCACCCGATTCATCGACACTCATCCAAGATCTCACAATGTACGTATCGCAACAGTGGTTGTCACCCCCAAGGTGAACGTAAAAAAGCGATACGAATTAGGATTAATCAGAGTTCTCATCTCAGAAAAGAAAAGGCCGTTTCCTTGACCGTAGTTGGGACATCAAAGGCTGATCATAGTGACAAATCAATTGTTAACATCAATGAAAATATTCAAACAAACGATACAAACTGAATTTAAATGACTTATTCTTTTTTGAATGAAGTATGGTGAGAGCTCTGAGCCCTGAAATCCGTTTGAGCATGATATTGGGTTGACAAAAGTTTTCAATAACCAGGTGATGCCACAAAATATCTTTGAGGTCACCTCGCTAAATGTTTATAGACTAGTTAGCTAAGTGACTTGAATGGTAACTGATATGGTATCTGAACCTTTCAATAGGGAGTGAAGAAAGTGGTCAGAAGTTTTTTTCCGTTCACTGGTCATAAAAAAGCGAGAACCTGAAAAAAAACTGAGACTAATATAAGACGCTCGCGAAAGAACCTTAAAATTTGTAAATTTTCGGGTGGTGAGTTCTCATTAGGTAGTGATACCGAAAACACTTTCGGTGCAACCTACTTAAATGGTCTTTAGACCATTTACACTAACGTTCGGAAATTTTGTGGTGGCACGATTTTTGAAGCCGAGCATATAATTACTGAAAAAACATATTCAACAATTGACATAAACAGAAGATTATTTATAGAGAACGCGGGAACACTAATTCAGTCTATCGGATGTCATGGCTCAGGCTTGCAGGCATGGTCATCCTTGTGTAACTTTTCTATTCATATTAAATATATTGTTCTATCCCCAGCTTAAATGTTTTTTTTAAAAAGTCCAATTATATCACTAATTGTCACGATACGATAAGTCAGTGTAGACAATGATGTGAATTCCACGAAAGATTTTTTACATTAGATAGTCATGACACATCTACAATTTTATGATTAATTCTATTACTAGAAGAGTACTAATGACGAAGTGGGCCACAATTCTACAATTTCTCAACATATGATCGAAACCAGGTTTGCAAATAATTCCTTTAGGCTGGATGTAACTGCAGTCTAAAAAATTGGCTGAACCAGTCTGTAGAAAAAAGGGAACATAATTTTGGAAATTTCTTATTAATAAGAGCCGATAGAAACTAGGAGCGTGAAGATGGGGAAGTAGCTGAAACTGAAAGAGCATGCAATGTCTTGGTGGTTTGTAGTAAGCAAGTCATGAAACTTCCCACCAAACGATACGGAGATGGTACTACCTGTCAAATCTCCCTGAAAAAAGCTCAAAGGTTATCATAGTTCTGTAGGTAGTAATAGGGATTACTCTAAAAGTTAGTCACCAGTTCCTTCTGTTATTAATTTTCAAGCTCACCTGTTTTCAGAAGAAATATAACAAGATCAATAGCCATCCGGAAACAAGCTTCCCCCATCCCATGGACAAAACAATCAATCCTGTCTAGTAAAAGTGTGTCTACATGCACTTTGGGAATACAGAGGTAAATAGGTACAGCATAGGGGAAGTACCTGTACCTGTGGTCCGTCCTCATAATGATTTTGGGGTGACAGTGGGTCATGGTATTACGACCAAGACCCACTGCCCGGAGTTTGCAGCTAAGAAGTTTAGAACCCTATGGTCTTTAGGACGGACATTCGCCAAGTTATATATTGCCATGTCCATTACAATATACACAAACCGGTTTACTAGGTGACTTGGATGTCCTGGAAAATGTACAGAGGAATCGTGTAGCTCCCGAACCTCGGGGTTTTTCATTCAAATATGTGTTTGAAAAGATAGTCCTCTTTACTCTGTCCTACGGCAGAATTGGTGGCCTGATTTTCATCCATATAATATCTAGAAATAATTTTTGACCTGATAAATTCTCTCTTTTTCTTCCTACCAGTTTGGAACGACTTAGGGGACAAAGCAGGTGAGTATAAAAGCCAAGAACGAACAAAATAGCTGTGGTATAAAGGTCTTCTCATCGAGTCATCGATTCTAGAAACCTGTTGCCCGAAGCCGCGGTGTTCACACCTTCAATTGATTCATTCAAGAGAAAGACAGACACTCAGAGAATCGTTCTAGTAGAGCAATAACATAGGCTGTAGTGCTTCTGTTCCAGTTACACCGATCTGAATGTAAACGCCAATATTCCGGCAATCAGAAACTGTGTGATCTGGACTGATTGGTCGGTCGACGCGGATGGATTGATCGAAGATGAATGGAATAAGTTTAAGGCTACATTCGAGTCCGTAACGTCGCCGTTTATCCCATGGTCAGCGCGTAAGCTATCACATTGCCCTCCATGGATTAATAAGGAAACACGGAAGCTGTTAAAGTGTAGGAAACATTTCTGGGACTTATTCTTGTTGACAGGTCATGCACAATTTAAGCGTGAGTACCAAAAGTTCCGTAATATCTGTAAGAAAACCACAGGCAAATCCCGTACCACTTATGAACGAGCGTCAGTATATGATAGCCGTACTTGTCCGAAACGATTGTTTTCGTATGTTAAACGGCGAATGAAACGTAGTGATGGTGACATGAGGTGACCTTATACTGGCATTTCGAATCTTTAATTATGATTTGGGTGTTAATACGTCTTATCGTTTTGATCCCCCCAGCACTAATAATCTCCGAGGTCATACCAAGAAGGTTCACAAACCAAGATATAATAAACTTAAAGTGGGGTCCCGTTTTTCTCACCTAGCAGTCAATGATTGAAACGCCTTACCCGAACAAGTGGTATCAGCCCCATCAGTGAATACTTTCAAGGAGAAGCTGAACCTTCACTGGAAAGCAATGTGTCAGGATTAATACAGGTTCATCAACCTACTATCCTTATTACTGAGGACTGAAGACTGGAATAGCGCTATATTCCGGGAGTACGCTACATCTGGGCGTCAGTGCTTATTTTGTGTCGGGGTAGTGCAATATATCCATAATTGACTGTCAAAGTAGCGTTGACTTAGAAACTGTTTTCTTGTTGAAATACCGAATTTCAAGCTCCAATGAATAATAGATCTTACATTTTAAGTGTTAGAAGTATAGTGTTGACGAATTCTGAGCTAAGTATCAACCCTGAAAACAGCTTTATTAAGTGGTTAGTTTGTGGAAAAAAAATATTTATGCGAATGCTACATAGATTTCACATAGTTAATAAGTCTGGATGTCTTCTAGAGGTTACTCTGCCTTTTAATCGAAAAATAATCAAGAGATCTCTCCCTTTGAATATCAACTCTCCGTCTTCTCAAATTTTGAAGAGGACGAAAGCAGTTAACTAGGATGGGGATTGGAGGTTCAGAACTTTCAGCTAGAAAGGGACATTGGCTATAATGCAGACATGTTCTGTAGCCAGGAAGATGAATGATTTTAGCGCAAAGTATAGAGTTGTTTATGTGCTGAGTTTGTCCTAAAAACGATGTTTCATGGTTTAGAGTTCAGGGGTGGTATTGATTTGCCCGTCCTATTCAATTAACAGAAACATCCGTCGATATCTGATCAACTTAATATGGTAGTACACCTACGTCAATCATACACCTATACTTAAAAGAAATCTAAATCTCATCGTATATGGTTCGGGTTAAGTACCCATCTCTTAATCAACGGGCAAGTGCACTTCACGATCGTTTCGTATCACTCTACAACTGCAGAACATGCCTTATGAATGTTGAAGAGGCATCCTTAACCCATTGCTTGTGTATGAAAAAATGCTTATTGAGTGCAATCTTAACCACTTCCTCCATTGACACCTAACTATGACTGGTATAGAAATAAGTTGATAAAATTCTGAGTGATTAAATGAAGTCATGACACTTCACGAGACCACTGATTTTAATCTGAGTCTCATTGTTAGGTGAAGATTTCTTGGTAGGGATCTACACAATATTCGTGATCAATAAGTGATTTGTAACAGGATGCGAAGCTGTCCATTATGGTGTATCTCCCCTCTCATTTGGCAGTTTCATTCGACACAACTAGTACTAGATTATTACCAATTTTGTCTACTTCGTAGACCGATCCAGTTGTGTAATTTTTAATCGAAAGTAACGTAAGTAATGCTTATGGGATAGCTGTATTTCAAGCACACTATAACAACAGACTAAATGTGTGAAAAGACGAAGAATGTATGTCACGTCGATTAGAAGAAGTGAGTAATAGTATGTGCGCCGAATAAATATTGTTCATAAACAATCTAATTTGATGGTCAGCCATACATAAAAGCGGATATGTATTCATAAAATGTACGTGATTAGTTCATAATTAGTAGGTCGGTGGCTAATGCTTTTGTCTTTTTTTCCACTAAATCTAGATCCACCTACTTCGGTTTCAGTAACCGGGTAATATAATTGGCCCTTACACCTTAAGTGTGACTCACCAAAATACCTGCTGAATAAGTTGATTGATTTTTCCCCGAAACTAGTCATTATTAACAGACAATAACGATTAAAGTAAAATAATTCATTTAAGGTCACATACTCATCTGGCTTCATACCAGTTCACAGAAGTAGGGGTTACACAGTCTTGTCATAATTAGGATTAGTTGGATTCGGTATGTTAACTAGTAATACTCATAGCTGTACAATTCGTGCCCAATTAGTCAAGTATGTACCATTATTAAAGTCAAAGAGAACTGGGTAAGCATGATCTAAGGCATTTTATTTGCAACTTGAATCAAGCGCGGAATAATGTACATTTGGGATAGGACCTGGCACAAATGTACACTAGTCCAAATTGCCATTCCCTATCAGCATAGCGTGATGAAATTGGCAAAATGAATGTCGAGGCGGCAGAAGTAATAATGCTGGTAAATATAACAAATCGAGAACATTGTTCGAAAAGACAAATTTACAGAATAAAAAGTAGATAATTATATACTGAAATCCAGTATTCAGGGCTAAATAAAAATTCACCTACCTTAGTGCTATTGATTTTAAGCCATCACTCGACGTAGGCAGTCTATATCTACGAACATGGCTTAGAGTATGAGTTAATAACCTCATAAAATGATTACGCGCCTTGCTATGAGTACCCTTAGATTTTCTTCAACCTGCTGTCAGTTGGGATGGGGCGTCTCGATAGGTGATGCTTATGGTACATGTAATACATGTTTCAGTATCAAACCTTACATTTAAAAAGCTTGCTAACTCTCCACTATCATATTATTGTTAAAATATCTTTAATCAGCTTTGAGGCTTTTCTATAAGTCCATTAACCTTTGAGGTTCTTTTACTCAAGATTGTTGTTGAGATTTAGTGTTTTTCTCCTTTAGTCACCTTATTCAATGTCAGTACGCATAGAAAAGACACCCTTTACAAATTGCAGTGCGAATCTTATTCAGAGTCACGAATTCGATGAGGAGTCCCAGAAAAATGAAGATAGTCGCAAGTCTATAGAAGTCGCCGAGTATTTACTGGATAAAAAGCTCTTTTTGTCTGCTCTCGAGTACTATTTTGAACAGTTGGAGCGTGGTAAAAGTATAAAACTTTTGCATGAGTTCTTCACTAGTCCAAATTTTGTTGATAATTTGAACTTATCTTCTGTGGAGTCATCCAGTATGTTGATGGGTAAGCAAATATGCTCTTTTTTGATTATGTATGTAGGGAAATATCCAAGCCTATCTTCTTTGGATTCGTCAGATATTGGACGGATATCAGATGATGGGAATACACTTGAAGAAAAACTAAAAGGTATCTTTTTTAAATTCTAAAGTAAATAACGCTTGTTTACTTTTCTTCTAGTACTTGAATATGAGTTGCGCAAGAAGAATGATGAAATAAGTTCATTACGGAATGAGTTAACCAGTTTGGTAGCATGCGGATATAAAGGTGATTTACAATCTTCACAAACTTCAGGTAATTCTATTTACAGGTTATTGTTGCTCAACTTTATGTATTATGGAAATAAGTGTGGTTTTAATTCTTCGTTTCCAAAACAAGAAGTGAGCTGCTTACTTAGTCTAAATTTGTGTTAAAATAATAACAAAATTACTTTCACAGTTCCATGGATTAGAAAAACGAGGTTACAGAACACTCAGTAGAACCATTTTTATTTTTATCATAAGGATACTTAAAGTATGAAATATTAAAACACCTTTGAACTACAATTATGATGTTAAAAGCTAGATATATACTACTCAACTGTAGGTCACAAAATTGATGCCTACAGCTTCACAGTCTTCAACAGATGTACGCTTCTTTTTTCTCACTGATTGTTTCGAATAATTCGATGTAAAACGCCTTGAGTCCATTGGTCAGTCGAACACAACATGTAATCTGGTATGTATGTATATCTTTCCAAGTTCTCATAACCGATTATCACGGCGAGATAAAATTGTTTAGGCAAATCGCAGAGGTGGTAACAGAACTAGTGATAATAAAACAGATTAAGCATCGAAGATACGATTCGTGGAGGAAATATAAATAAGTAAAGTATAAAAATTATAAGGAATTCAGAAATTTAAAACATAGGTGAATACAAAGAGTGGATGCACTTGCGCCATCACAGACAATTTGGAGCAATGTCATTCAAAATTTCTAACCACTAGTTACGATAATTAAGCTTACCTTGGTCAGGTATATACTGTACATCTATTTCATAGTTCAATGACTGATGGTACGTTTTGGTTTGGCCTCCCTTAGCTTTGTTCTAGCCTACTCTTACACCAGATAACATCGCCGGCCGAAGTAGAAGGTTACTCTATGGTCCCGAAATACAGGAGCTAATCGAACCTTCTGAATTTTTGCTGAGATTTCATCAGATACCAGACCATAAAGATCTATAAGAGTGAAGTAGTCGATGCTCCTAAATACTTCACTCACTACCATTAATTTAGGTGATGACACAAACAAGTCTCGAAGTAACATTTGACATTTGAAGGGAGAGAATCGCATCCCAAACATGCACTTTGAAGCTTAGCTTCAACAAAATGCAACTAGTAGTAAATTCATTGGGTTATAATTTTCAATTCCTATTTACTTGCACACGAATTATTGAAGGCGGTAAATCATGCTGTAGTTAAATACTTTGTTGTCAAGTGTGTCTAGTAATATTGAAAATACATTCATCATACCCTATAAGCCTTATTTTTGTCTAAAGGTAATTGGACCTTAGTTCATGTAGCTTTGTTTGAAAACGACTGATTCAAATGCAAGTACTTGAAAGAATTTCAGTCTCTGGGTCTAGAAAAAGTAATTATCACACCACTGGCACAATTTATATTCAGTCATTCTAAAATTAATTTTGGGCTCTTGGTAGATATCAAAGATAGATGTCTCAAATTATTTTAACTGAACTCAGAATTAAATAAAGCACATATCCAACCATAAAATTTACTTAAGTAATTTAAACTAACTGATATTATTGAGTAGACTAATATAATTGTACAGAAAGAATTGACAACAATTACGATTGTTCCACCTCTTTCTGGCAACACTAATTTATGGACGAGCCAATCAGATATAAGATAACGAGTCACGAATTTGGGCGCGGAATTCATCCATACATTTGGCTAAATAGAGTTTTGGCATTATAGCTGATGTCAGTTCGTGGTGAAAGCCCTAAATCTAATTTTTAACCCTAATCATCAACTGTAAATGGGAATTCTAACTGCTTTATAACCCTCATTTAGTTCTAATTAGTAGTTGTTCGCTCTCAAGGTCACTTCAGCGTCGCTCAAAGGTCGTCCATAAATTATAGTCTCACCCATTATATTTCTCTGAGTCACAGTAATTTCACATGACATCTGATCTTTAAGTATTAAAGAATAATTACTGTTCAACAAAAATACAACTCTTCATAAACCTTTCTAATCAACTTAAAATGATAAAAATGGTTGAATGATGTGGGTTGGTCAGCTTAATAGTAGAATATATATTTTCCAATAAAATTATCCAAACCACGTGTCGGAAATAGCGGAAAGTTTTCAACTCATCAACCAAAAAAACCATAAAACATTTATATCCAATTAGACCACTTCTTGTGACTGATAATGGAAAACAGTTTTGTATTTGTTAGTGTTTATTCTAAGTGAATTAAAGCTGAAATTGTTGCTTTACTTAAATCGCCGGCTGTTGAATTTTAAATCATAACTAGTTGTTGTAGGCTAATAATCTTGAGATTATCAATGTTTTTTTCTTTCTTTTTGAACCTTTTCAGTTAAAATTATCGTAGCTAAAAACTATTATTGCTCACATGATTCATTTCATTTTCATTTGTGATGAAAAATTAATTTCAACGCTCAATTATTAATTGTTTTGTTAGAGTTTGAGACTGTGAATCAAGCAACATTTGAGCGTTTTTGAGATGATGGCGAAGATTTGTAGCTCAAGTGGATGGTTTGGTCGTGGAGCTTTAATCGTTCTTCTGGACAACATCATCAGCACAACCTTCTACCTGGAGTTTGTGCTGATGATGTCATTCAGAAGAACGATGAAAGCTCCACGATTAAACCATCCAGCTCAGAGAACAAAACTCCATCAAAAAGTATTTGAGCGTTTATGAAATAATAATTATTTTAGCATTTTGTTTATTTCTTCATTTGATTACTTCTTATTAATTTGCCTCTATCTAACGCAAAATTCTAGTGTGATGTGTATATTTTTTCTGATGAAATCATTGGCTAACAGTTTCAATCAATGAGTTGATTTATTATTTTACTCTTGTATAATTTAAACAAGTAATCAACATTTAATTGTTCCTTTGTTTTCCGTTGATATATTTTGTTTCTTTATTTCTCCTTTACAGATTCTACTTTGAATAATCATTTTCGGTCGAATTTTAACAATGGTACTCAAAAAACGCTACCTCATGAACTACGTGCAATATCATTTTTAATTAATGAATATTTTTTGGAACAAAATTTTCGTTTAACTGCAATACAATTTGCTGAAGAAGTAGAAGAACATGGTCTGCATAGTTTGGAATCATGGCATGAAGTAATTGTTGAAAATAACTTTTTTAGAGACAGTTATCAGAATCATTCATATACATTATCGTATTGGCACAAAATGTAAAGTCTGTTTCACATTTCAGGCGTGTACCACGAAATAACTACATCTTTCATACACTTAATATAATTATAACTGTCATTTTAAAACGTAGACATGTAATTTTTCACTATCATTTTTAGGTTTGAGATTGTACCCTATTTATATTGATTTATATGAACATACAGTATCAATCTCTGTAATCTACAAACGTGATTAGTAAATTTATTTTACTTTATAAGATGTATTCATCACAGATTGATATCAGTTGAGGTACCATTTAGAATCAATGGAGACTGGACAGCTCCTCAGTAGTGCAGACTAACCGTTGGATACTGGCCTAGTGGTTTTAATGATTAGGCGTTAATCGCGAAAGCTGAAGGTTCTGGTATTGTTGGTATGCACTAATAAGAAGTCCCATACTAAAATGAAACAACCAACCAATGCTACCTTCTTCTCAACGGGTACATCAACCGAGATCAATCTATGACTAATACAATCTACAAATCAAACTAATCTCCACAAAATCCCTTCAAGTGAATTAATTTTATTCTGCTTTATGTATGTGTGTGTATGTTTGTGGAAATTATTTGCCTTTAAGTTGTCATTATTTTGTTTTTCGCATTCATGAATTACATGAACTTGGTATAGGTTTCTCGTGCCACATTATTAAACATTCTAGAAATAGATTGATTTTTATGAATATAGATCACTGTTATATATGATCTATTTGTTCATTTCTTTGTATAATCTTTAAAAAACTTTTGAGTTATTTAACTTGACAGTGGTTTTCAACAGATCTTTTAAAGGTTTAGTTTTTTTGATTTATAGCAATAGGTTTTATGCAGCAAAATGACAATTTAAATGAACTCATTCACTAGGTACTTGGATGTGGGCCACACTCTAAGTGTGAGGGCTAACGATACTACCCGGTCGTCGAAAATGAAATGGGTGGGGCAGCAGGGTTCTAACCGGAGACTCGATTGCTGAACACCAAACGCTTTAGCCACTAAACTAGCGTTGTCTAACAGCTATAATTGTGACCTATACCTTAACACGCTAAGCTGTTATTGTCGATTATAGTCACATATACTATCAATGTTGTCGATTATAATATTTTACTTTAGCTCTTTATTTGATGAGAACAAAAAGAGTGGTTCATAAATTCCTAAAATAATTATTGGGCCTTGGAAGGGGTAAGTAGCATGGATGTTGTGAATCCCATTTAGGCAACTATACCTTTACACATGGTTCAAAGCAAGTCAATAGTTTTATGCTTTGAACTCATGTCTTATTGTAATTGTCTTTACATTTTTTTCCCGACATACTGCTGACTAAACAAATCAAACACATAAAGTGTTGGATTTTTATTTCAAAAGTTTTCATTTCAGTTTATCTTGTATTTGTATTCTAAACTGTCTATGTTTTTCTAATTTAAGGTTGCAATAAATTTGCGGAAACCTCCAAGCTTATTATCTTTACTCAGGTTATATTGGAATCCTTCTTCTGTTTCACAATCATCACAAATTTCATCAAATCGAGATGTACCAAATTGTAAATTTTGTGAAGTTGCTGTTCAGACTGAATCTGATCAAAATGTTTATACTGTTACAGCTGGTTTTAATGAATATTCCTCAATAGAAATTCAAGCAAAAGTATGATTAGCTTCTTGTAAAGATATTTCCATTTGGTTTATTCCATTTATTTGTAATTACAAAGTTTTTAAAATTAATAGCATTTATTGTTATTTTATACTTTTTATGTTATTTAGACAAGTGCTGACTACAATAAAAAAAAGTAGATTAGTACAATTGCCGTTTAGTATTAACTTGATCATATGTCTAGAATATACAACGAAAAAATCACGTTAGTAGTTGGATTCTCATTGTAAATCTTTGAATTAGATAGTGTCATTTTTAACTGCTTTCTTCTGAATCCTGTGAAGTATGTGCGCACTTGCGTTGTTTTAATTTTAAAATATACTAACACAGTTGTATAGAAACAATTTAGCACATTTGTGATACAATCAGTTAAATCCGAAATCTCGTAAGAGTACTCTAGGTTTGTTCTCATATCCTGGTATGAATTGTATGTGATGCCAATATCATAAACTGTTCTCTAACTATCCATAGTTTTGTATTTACGTAAATGGAAAAATTATAATATTAAATCAATAAGGTATAATTATAAAAGTTTTTGGGTTTTGTGAAAGTATCCATACATTTTCTCATGTATGTCTCTTAACGTGTATTAACTTACTTGCTATAAAAGTACTTGTTAAATACTTTGTAACTTAGTTCTCACTGTCTGTAGCAAATAAAAAAATAGGATTAAATCGATACCAAATTAATATTAGTTTTTTCTCTTATGTCTTACATTTTGTTGACACGACCGTAGCTGCTATCTTGATGTAGTGGTCGGACGTGCCTACCATAATAACCCAGTCGAGCTGTATTTGCTAGTACATTTGTCTTTTCAGATTCTACCATGCCAAATAAGTTTGTCGGAGAACTGTAATATTAAAGCGATAACTTTAGGTTCGAAGGCTAAGTTTGACTTCCAACTATACCGGCATCACCATCTACAGCATCGCTGCATCTTCTGTGCTGATTATGTTGGGGAAACTTAAACCGATGCACGTATAAAATGGGTTCTACGCTGCTTATAACTACTTATGAATGGTCTTTTGGTAATAGTAACATTCGTAGTTTGTAACTAAGTTTGTGATACTTAATCTATCTACTTAGATGTTACCAAATAGTCCAAATTTTGTGTAACTTTATTCACTTTTATTATTGAATTAACAAAAAGAGCGAGATAATATATATGGACAGGTTAAACAGTCTTAGTGTTACAACAGAAATATCGGTTTCAGGTAAAGAATGATAAGAATCGTGAATGATGACATTCAATTCTATTTCTTCTTTAAATACTTGTAAATATCATTCAGTTATTTCAACACTCATGGAGTGTTATCATTTAATCAATGTTTATGAATGATTATTTAAGCTAATATATCATTTAGTTGTAATTGATATCACATTGTTTTATGTAACTAGGCTCATTCCATTAATTTTGAACATCTATCTGTTCAAGTATACAAGCATATTGTAACGAACTTACAGGACAAGTTTTTACAAGCCTGTACACTTGTACAAACTAGTATAAGGCTAGACAATCATGTAAAAAGTAAATGCATCATTTCTATCCTATGAGTTATTTTGTTTTTATTCATATGGTTAATTATGAAGCTCTATCCATGTACATTTTCAAATATATACAAATGTTTATCTGACTATCTTATCACATTAAGTCTGTAAATTATTTTCATTCACTACATATATTTTGTCTTCGTTCACTTCATTCAACATCATTCAAAACACACACACGCACACACTTCCTTTGCTTTTTTGAACTTTGCATGTTTGATTTGTCGTTACAGCAGAGCATTTGTAATGCACTACCCTCTGCCACCTCGTATTCCGATTTCTGTTTTCACACTGTTGATAATCGTAGTGGCAAAGTTGTTCTAGTTATCCAATGATACGATGTTATCAGGAATGATTATGTATTGCGAGTTAGATCTGCTTTCACTTTGATCATTAGGTTAAATGTTTTGACGTCAAGATGCACTATATTTGGTATTTAGTAATTCGAGTTGTAAGGACCGATTCGAACCTAGATTTCACACAAGTTGGCACTTACCAGCAAAGTGTATTTGCAGTTTATCAGTGAGATTCGAACTCATTTTACTCAATTTCAGTCAGAGTTCGATCAGTGTTAGAATTTAAACAATGTACTATCAGTTACTATTCAGTATTGATGAACTAGCGTGAGTATCTACATTGAAAAACATTAATAGTAAAATTATCACTGAATTATGTGGAAAGCACTTGTTACATATTGGTAATGTAGAAGGGTTACTTTATATTTAATATACTTCGCTTCCAACCACTGAATCTCAGGTTCAAATTCTATGTTTTCGTCTACATCGATTTAAGTAGACTGGTCGTATTACTTTCCCTCAATCGAAAATTGCTTCTCTGCTTTGCTCCAGAACTATGAAAATAATCAACTATATCCACTAATTTGTCTTTACACTAACTGTGATTGTCTAAATATATATAGGGAAAAGGGTAAATAATTGATTATCAGGTCAAACGTTCGTGTTATCTGTTCTTAATGATGCAGGCAAATATTTACCTCGCGCGCGAGCGCTTAACCATTAGACCACTAAGCCGGTCGATATCCAATGGTGTTAATGTTTAACTTCGACCAATCCACGAAATTTCGTCACCGTACACCATTTTCATCAGTGAGCTGATATCTCACAACAGACCTGGTTGAACTTCACTGGTCACGGCTTCCAGCTTTTCCATGGTGGTCTAGCTTCAATTGATTCATGATTTCAACTACTGAAATTATTAAAATCTCCATAAAACCCCTTCTGATAATAATCATCTGCTCACTAGTGACTGACTTTAAGAGGAATTTCCTGGAGTTCTAGTGAGAATCAATCTAAAGATAAAATTCCCCCTCTTCATAAGTTTATTTTGAATAGAATGGTTATTATCAAATCTTTAGTGTAAATTAATGATGTGATATAATATAACCTGTTTTAAGAAAACAACAAAGTAGACTAACGTTCATCTTCCTTAACACTGAATAGTGTATAAATATGCATAAGGTTCGGATTTATATGTAGTAAAACTTTAGCATTCTCATAAGTCTCGTTTCTATAATTGTTGACATTAATTATCAAGGGATTTGAACCTGTGTCAGTCAGAGACATTGTCATTGGAATATTTGGATCGTGGTTAACCTTTGAAACCGTGATATACATAAATTGCATTACCACTGAGTGAGTAATGACTACTTTCTTATGTATTCAGTCCTTATTGCTGATCAGTCATTTTCCATCGATCAAGTTGGACTATCAGTTAGTAAGTGGTTAACTGATAGTATATTTTAATTTCCAATAGAGATTTTTATCTAGACTCAACTTTAATAATTCATCGAGAATTTGTGGTCTTTTAATGTAGTATTGTTTAATTTTAGCGTTTTTTTTGCCTCACAGTTTTTCCGACTGTTCATTGTTAACTAATTAAACTTCTACTTCAATTAAAGAATATATTTCAACTATGCAAAATTTTTAGAATGAGGAGATTTCATCGTTAAAATCGAAAATCAATCACTTAGAATCACAGTATTCAACTGCTTCACAAAACACCAGGGATTTACGTAATCAACTTATTTGTCTTAAACGGTAAGTGTATTACTTGCATCGTAAGTAATCTGTTCTAGTTAGTTTTGTCTATTTTCACATGGATGATGTCACACCTCTATTGTTTTTATGCTAATAATTACCAACTAACTTTATAGTCTATGTTAAACCAATTTCAATATTCATTGTCCAATAGTTTCTGTATGATTTTCTTAGTGATCTGGGCTTACTTCATCTAGAAAATCTTTTCTACAAGTGTCAAGTTAATCGGTTCTAATTCCAAATTGACTGTCCTCAATATCCATATTACTTTTATGGGCACTCATATTTTTATCAATTATCATTTTGGCCTTATTCCTGACCATGTAGTTGATGGACCTCTGTGTTATAGGCTGATAGATTGGATCTTTATCGCCATGTCTATTGACTATAGATCAATATGAGTGTCAAAAGTTTTTAGATTGTCTTAGAATTTCCCTCATTTGGGATTCTAAGATTCAAATTATGAGGGCGTTTTCTGAAGATTGGTTTGATTTTTATGTAATATCTTTCACAGATCAATTTTATTGAGCGTACCATTGAAAACCAGGGGTACTGGACAACTATTTCGTCCTCGTAAGGAACTTCTCAGAACTCTGAGCCATGTTGGTAGATACAGACTACTTGGTTGAGGTCCGCGTGACTATCGTAACCAATGGTTGGAGACTCTGATTGACATGGCTCAGAATTGATTACAATGGTGTAGGTGTATACACTCTTTGTCTTCCCTTAAACCATGAGATTAAAATTACTCTATACCTTTCATTCTATGAACTAATTCTTTTTTCCTGTATTATGTGCTTATACACAATCTTTCTTTTATATATTACTACCACTGAAGTAACTGCTTCTATGAATTTGATGTTCATCTTGTTGTGCTAATGAGGTGTGGCAACTTGAACTGATGTATATATGTGCTTGGTCCTACGTTGTAGCTGACTGACTGGTCCATTGGTCCTAATGATTAAGCTTTCGCTGAGAGACCTGAAGGTCTTAGGTTCTCATTTTTGGTGCGGCCATAAATGTGCACTGCTGAGAATCCTCATACTAAGGGAAGAGAGATGTCCATTCCTTCTTGATTTCAAGGTTACTCTGAATGAGATCAACCCGTGATGAATACTACTTACCAATTTCAGATTTACTTGAATTGTCAAAATCAAATGGAGTATACTGTTTTACAGTTATTCACATCATTTATTAAAAATACATCTTATGTATTTTTCTAACTTATCAGTGAACACATTGAAATGATAGATAAAACATTATCAAATAAATACACTACTACGACAAATGCAAACACCACTGTGATAAAGGTGAGTGATTCAGATGACGAATGCAATAACCAATCAAGCCTAAGTGACAATGACAATGTTTCATATTCGTCTCCTGGAAAATTTGGTTTTACTGATCAAACTAATAAATCTTGTCGGTAAGTCGTTTATTTTTCTTAATAATTTAATCTTAATGCGCTAATGTGACATGAAAACTTGATACAACACACATATGTCAGGTTCTACGTTACTTATGACTGACTGAGGCAGTTTAGTTGTTTATTTAATTAACTTTGTGTGTGCATGTGCATGGTAGACCATGTAAGTTTCTTCCCATTTACATCTTAATAATTGTTAATATTTCTCGACTTTTTCGCATCATTCGACATTTAATTTAATCCATTTTGCCTAAATGGACACATTTATTCCGGTAGCGAATCTTCATAGACTGCGGTGAAGTTGGGATACTTACTTACGCCTGTTACTCCTTGTTAAGGAGCATAGGCCGCTCACCAGCATTCTCCATCCAACACTGTCCTGAGCAATCCTTTCCAGCTCCTTCCAGTTCCTATTCATCTTTTTTCATATCTGCTTCTATTTCCCGACGTAATGTATTCTTTGGCCTTCCTCTTTTTCGCTTCCCTTCAGGAAGCTGGAAGCTGATTTTTCTCTCCTAAAACAGGCTGTTGCTGATGGTATCCGACCAATGGATAATGAGTATCTTGCGTAGACAGCTATTTATAAATAATTGTACCTTCTTGATGGTGGTTGTAGTAGTTCTCCAAGTTCCAGCTCCGTACAGGAGAACTGCCTTGACGTTGGTATTGAAGATCCTCACTTTGATATTGGTTGAAAGTTGTTTTGAGTTCCATATGTTCTTTAACTGTAGGAATGCTGTCCTTGCTTTGCCAATCCTTGTTTTTACGTGTGCATCTGAACCTCCTTGTTCATCGATGATGCTTCCTAGGTATGTGAAGGATTCTACATCTTCCAGAGTTTCGCCATCAAGAGTGATTGGATTGTTGTTCTTCGTTTTGAATTTGAGGACCTTGGTTTTCCCTTTGTGTATGCTGAGGCCTACTGATGCAGAGACTGCTGCTACACTGGCTGCCTTCATCTGCATCTGTTCGTGTTTATGCAATAGGAGGGCTAGGTCATCTGCGAAGTCCAAATCGTATAATTGATTTCGAGCTGTCCATTGTATTCCGTGTTTTCCTTCAGATGTCGAGGTCTTCATAATCCAGTCGACCACTAGAAGAAAGAGGAAGGGAGAGAGTAAACAGCCTTGTCTGACTCCAGTCCTTACTTGGAATGCATCTGTCAGCTGTCCTCCATGCACTACTTTGCACTGTAGTCCGTCGTATGAGTTCCTGGTAATATTGACAATCTTCTCAGGAACTTCGTAGTGTCGAAGACGTTCCCATAACGTCCTCCTATCTACACTGTCAAATACCTTTTCATAGTCAATGAAGTTGATGTACAGTGTTGAGTTCCACTCAATTGATTGTCGCAATTTGGTCTGTGCACGACCGATCCTTTCGGAATCCAGCTTGTTGATCTCGAAGTTGGGCGTCTACTGCATCTTTCATCCGGTTCAGCAACACTCTGTTAAAGACTTTCCCTGATATTGACAGTAGTGTTACTGCCTCTGTTTGCTTCTATGTATTCAGCTTGTGCTTTTACTTTCTCTGCTCGTGTTCGGCTATTGTTAATTGATGTGTTCTTGTTCTTCCTTTCTTTGATCTTGTCCAGTGTTTCTATATAAATCCATTCCTTATGATGGTGCTTCTTGAGGCCCAGAGGTTAATGCTTCTTTGATACCTTCCCAGTTGTCCTCCATAGTAGTTTCTTCTATCAGTAGATCCTGTAAGGCTTAGAGCCTTTTGTTAAGAGTTCTCTTGAATTCGTTGAGCTTGTCAGTATGCCGAAGAAAGGCTGTATTAAACCTTTGTAATGCTCTTTTTCCGGTTGTCCAATGCTTCTTTAGCTTCAGTTTCATTTTGGCAACCACCAGCTAGTGGTGGTCCGAATCTATGTTAGCTCCTCTCCTGGTTCTCGCGTCTTCTGTTGACCTTGTGAATTTTTACTGATGCAAATATGATCTATCTGGTTCTCCATGGTGTGGTCCGGTGAGACCCATGCAGCTTTGTGTGTGCGTTTGTGTGGAAATATTGTGTCGCCTATGACCAATTTGTTAAATGCACACAGATTTGCAAACCTTTCCCCATTTTCGTTTCTGTCTCCCAGTCCATGTTGTCCCATGATATCTTCACATCCGGTATTGTCTATTCCGACTTTGGCATTTCAATCTCTCATCAGTATGGTGAGATTGTTTCTTGGGCACCTCTCTATGATTGACTGCAGCCGCTCGTAGAATTGATCTTTAATGCCGTCGTTGCTATCATTTGTGGGTGCATAGCATTGGATAATATTCATTGTGATCCCCTCCTTCTTTGTTTTGAATGATGCTTTGATGATTCTGGATCCGTAAGATTCCCATCCTACAAGTGCATTTCGTGCTACTTTGGACAGCATAAGAGCGACTCCCTGAGTGTGTGAAGCATTTTCCTCTTCGTGACCGAATTATAGCAGCATCTCTCCCGTATTTAGCCTTGAAGCTTCATAGTTCTTCTAAATGAAGACCTTCTAACTCCCAGAGCAGAGTTAAAATGGTTTGAATTATTTTTTCTGGTAAGCGTTTTTTCAGGGAGTTAGTTTTCTACGGGATGAGAACGCTAACCCCCATGCCCAACCCTCACTCTTTACCCGGGCTTGGGACCGGTGTAGTTGGAATACGTAACACATATGCTCAACCACCTGCTAACTCGACACGCAATGTTTGCTGGTATAGGTGTAAGTTGGGATAAAACTAGGGACATCTAAAAAGGATATGGCACTACGTTGTTACTGACTGACTGACTGACTATGGCACTAGCACACAGTCATTCATTTTTGAAATGAACTATGCAGGTAGATGCAGACTGTTGGCTTATCCATGTACAATTGTTATTTTCCATTTTATGGTTTGATGTGGTTCATTATGTTTATATAAGGACTACGTTTGCTTGAAGTATAAGTATGGTGGAAGCTGATACTGACTTTTGAACTTAAGGCAGGGTATAGAGAGGGTACTGCGTTTCGGGGTCAATGGTGCTGTTCGAGCGTTCAATTGCACAAGTCAGAGACACTAAACTATAGGGTAAATAGTATACGCACAATTGAGATTCTGATTGGTGAGTTGGCGCGTGACATTTGGCAGCGGTTTCACGACATAACACGTTCATACTATTATTGGTTGGAGATGTCGAGTAAAATTTCTTAGCATAGGGCGCAATGGCGCTGCCAAACTGACTCTTTATAGTCCTTTAAGTTTTCAATTTTAAAATTATCTCATACGTTTTTATTCCACAAATTCACCCTTTTTTCTCAAATCATATTTCATTTATGTCTAACCTTTTCTAATACTACTATAGGATTTATCTTGATAACTTCATCTCACTCCAAACTAGTACAGAACAGATATTCTGTTACCTTCTGGTTATCAGCAACTCCCCAACTGATGCCAACTTATGATATAAATAGTAATGAACTATATTTGGGATGTCATTCAAAATCCCACATGGTTTCATATATTTTATTTACCACCACTTGACTAATTAACTTAGTACATGATTTTCCAAAACTTCTGTGAATACAAAGTTTTTTAGTATAAACATCATTGTTACGTAGCGTTGTTTTTTATTCACATAAATTTTACTTTTTCAACGATGGAAAAATTAAGTAATGAGATATATAAATGAGATGGTCTTATATATAATACAGAACTCTTAAACTGGTTTAATCTATATTTTCATCTATAAGCAGATAATTTAACGATGGCTCTATCAGTTGTAGTGAGAAATTATGGTGTATATAGAGTTTAATAAATCGTAAATGAAGCAGTCACTCACAAATATTGGTATGTGTTGACTAAATCATGTGGCAAATTGATTGAAGTTGGAAAACATCCACCATGCCAACCGACACAGTGGTATATTATGTTCTGTTCTCTAAACAACTTCACGTACCTGGTTTCAACTATACCCACAATTGGGATCGTGATGGTGCGCTGTCCCAATATGCAAACAAAACACCCATATAATACTTCTCTTTTTCAATGCTTTTTAGCTGATATGAAAGTAATCTTCACGAACTAAATTCCTCCCCTTATCTGGTTTAAGAAATTTGGCAGGAAACTGTAGACTTGGCTTTCGAGCTAGTTGGCAGTCGTTGGTAAGGTGTGCTTGCGATCTTAAGGGAACTTATGCTCCTTATGGAGTTCGAAGCCCCAAATGCTCTCACACGGCCACGCGTATATGGCCTCTGCCAGGGAAGTCCTACTCAATGCCTTTTCGTGGCAGGGGTGTTGTTTACGAAAATGAGAGGATGAAAAGCGAATGTCCGGTGCTTTAACCGGATTCCAAACCAATGGTGCACATGGGCTCCAGTATCCTGCGGGAACAAATGGCGAGTGAACCAATTGTTGGTCACCGGCTTCCATGGGACTGCATCTCCTTACGATGCTCCACTGCCTTGTGGATCAGACCTTCAGGTCGAAGGCTCGGGGTGTGGTCCCCTAAGAAAACCACCTGCTTCGGTTTGGGCACCCGGGCAGTATCACAGCCCTCACACATATCGAATGAGAATTGTGTGGCGCATATGTATTTGGTGCCTCTTTGTACCATTATCTATGTGTTGAAATAAATAAATAAATAAATGTGAAACCTGGCCTCTTTGAGTGGAGGATGTTAGACAACTCTGTGTTCGATCATCATTGTGTCTGAAGGATTGCTGACATCCAGTGGCAACACCATGTCAGTAATGCAGAGGCTCGGCATCGTGTGTTCGGACACAGAGACGATAATGCAATTGGTGTCACCATCTTGAAACACCGAATTCGGTGACTTGGACATGTTCTACGAATGTCGTCCCAGAGAATTCCACGTCGTGCAATATTTGCCAACTCTGGAACTGGTTGGAAGAAGCGAATAGGTGGTCAGTGTATGACATTGTGTCGTGGGAAGAAAGAAAGCTGCAAAGGGCTGGCTTGTGTTGTTCCTTCACGACTCACTGGCTGGGGTCTGAGAGATGGTGCAACACAGTGGCTAGAGACGTTATCAGATATGGCTCAGAATAGAAGCCAGTGGCGATCCTGCTGTAACATTCTTTTACTTTTTTCATAAAAAACGGTTGTTTCTCCCTTAACTGAAAGATTTCTTCTGATTGTACCTTTCCGTTTCCGCCATTATTATTATTATTATTATTATTATTATTATTATTATTATTATTATTATTATTATTACACTACCTTACACTAATCTGTTCGTTGTTGTTCCTTTTTTTTACGCTTCTTACTTCCTTTTTTCTGCTCGAATTCTCATTGTTTTGTGTTGCGCATTTATATTTGGTGCCCTCTTGTACCAATATTTATGTGTTCAAATAAATAATAATAAATAAATGTGGAGTTCGAAATAACGTCACTCAGCTTCACAGTCTGAGACGTGTTAGTACTGATTTATTCTGGTCGTAACCAACCTGTAAGACTGAAATAGTTACAATTAATGGGCACTGAGTAATAAACTATGCCAAGTTTGTTCAGTCTTTTATTGTTGATCTAATTGTGTCGGTCAAATTTCAATGCTCACACTAGTGTGTGATTCGATATCACGTGACCCATGTTGAGATGCTAGCTAGGTGGATGCAGTCAGTAAAATAACGGACTGGATTACTATGTTTACATATTCCGTTTATCATAAGTTTTCATTTAAATAATTAATTATCATCGTTCTGTTTATTATTCCTGTTTTATTTGCCAACCAAATACTCACAGCTTACCCTATTCACAGCCTCTCTCGGCTTCTATATGTGATTCCTGTGAATTTTCGTTTTATGGTGTGATGTGGTTCAGTATGTTTGTATATAAACCCACGTATGTTTGAAATACGATAATGGTAGAAGGTGGTTTCTGATTTCTGGTTTCACTCGAAACAGAAGATAAAGAAGAGTTTGAGTATAACGGACCAAACTCGAGCCTAGCTTGTGTTGGCTCAAAGTTAACGGTGCAGGTCGAATGTGTATTTGGTCAAGTCTAGGATACTAGTTCGTAGAAGATACAGTAGACGCGGCATAGAAAAAATTATAATTATAATTCTGATTGGTGACTAACACGTGATATCGATCAGTGTCTCTTGTTATAACAACAGGTAATAAGTGACAGTCTATTGTCATTCTGTTTGATGATGATTTGTGTATTATTGTTAAAAATAATATCTACCATAGTTGCACTAGTCCAACAGTTAAATCTTGTTATACTATTCATTTTGCTGTACGCTTAATGTTTCTCGTTTCATTTTTCATTTTTTTTTGTTTTTCAAAGTAAACTATCCAAAGAGTTTTCCAGATATATTGCTCATTTATTACCGGATGATGACCTAATGTTAAATGAAATTAACCATAATTTTCACTTAACCGATTCATTAGACGAATTTGTCACATTTTTAGCTCAATATGTTGAAAAGATTTTACCATACTTAGTTGATAAAGGCAAATTAGTAAGTACATTGTGTTCATAATAGATAAATAGTTATTTATGTTGCTCCATTTCATAGTAGTAATATTGTTTGTATTCCTTTTTTTGCCAATTGTTAACTGACTAGGCTAAATACGATATGGATTTCTAAGCAATATCATCTTTATTATAAAATTCTCAAGTTTTTAGTTTGACTATGTGTAGGATAGTTAGAGGTTGTGTGCAAATTGCTGTAAACTTACAAAACGTGTATGAAACAGTTATTCTATGTGCTCATTGGTTTTCAAAGACCCATCAGTTGACATTATACCATAATGAGTCCAAATCTAGAGTAAAAGAATTCCTATCTGATTTGTTTATCTCGACTCTAACCTCTTCTCGTCATTTAAAATTTATTGAACAAAAGATGGTTAGTGTAACACTAGAGCTAATCAATAGGATTCAAGTTCAGTTGGTTGAAAAGTAAAATGAAATAAATCCTAAGTTCCAACATTAACTTTAAATAAATATTCTTAATTGCTTCCTATCACTACACAATGATGAGTGTAATTGACATAAGTCACCTTTAACGCCATCACGATCTTGGTTTAGCCGTGAATGGATGCAAATATATTGATTTATTTATAACAATCTACCCAATGCTCAATTTATTCGAAATTACCAAGTCAAACCTTGGTGAACGGTTACGTTTTCAACACATTGGTTCTGTTCTGTCTTTGAAAAACCTATCCTTTCTGATCTGAGAGTATCTGGCCACATTGTTCGATTGTCGATATCTCTGAGAAAATTCACATTTATTTTTATTGTTATGCAGAATCGAAATAGTTAGTCCTTTAAAATGTGTGTAAAAAATATGTATCATTGAATGCCAACTTACGGGTCTAACAATTAAACTCTCTTTGTGAGACCTAAGGGTTATAGTTTTAATCATCTGTAGGATCGTGAATGCTCACTAGTGAAGAGTCTCATACAAAACAAAACAGTTGGCCAACACTTCCTGTTTTCTAATGATTGTCTAACCAGAGTCAGTTCGTAACATGCAAACTACACAATAAAACCTCAGTGACTTTATGGATACACTAATTACTGATTTTACTGTTCTCTTTTTAGTTTATGGTAACATGTGAAAGCATTAATTGTTACTATTTAATGCATGTGTCAGAAATACGCCACTAAATTTTTCCCAGTAGGTTTCAAAACAGTATAAAGAAGGTTTAAACTTCTTTGTCAGTTGTAATACTTTAAAAGTAACCTATTAAAGTAGCTCATCTATTCATTTAGTTCCTGTTGGGGACGATAGATCCCCAAACTCATATTTTTAAAATTTTATTGTATCGATCAACTTATTGATAAAATGTTTAAATATTTGTATTGGGGTCATTTGATGAACTGATCGATTAAAAGTTTGTATAGCAGTCAGTTGATGAACCTATCAATTGGATGTGCAAGTCAATTTATGAACTCATTGATTAGTGTTTACAATTTTCCTATGACAATATCGATTGTAAATATTGTATAAATACGCGTGAGTTGTGTGTTTGACTTGACTTGTTCGCTACTGTTCGCTGCTGCTGCTTGCTTGCTTGCTCGCTCGTTTTCTGGTTGTATGCAGAATATATTTTCCATACCAAGCCTGGACTTCTCCTTCTAGATAGCGGGGCTGGGACGCGTCAATAGTTAGATTACTGGTCTTTGGTCATTGAGTATTGTTCTCGTTCGCAGTCTAAGTGAACCCGTGAAGCTTCAAACCTAACAATTTGGCGACGGTGATTACGGAAATATGGATCCATCTAAACTTGAATTATTACTCGAGCAGCAGATGAAACTTATTCAAATGTTAGCAGATGCAAAGCTTACATCTAATTCTCAACCAAGCAGTTCTAATCCTACTACTACTGCACCATCAGTTGATGGTATTGCTAACAGTATCTCCGAGTTTCATTACGATCCAGAATCCAATGTCACGTTTGATATGTGGTTTCGACGTTACGAAGACTTATTCAAATTTGACTTTGCCAACCAGGATGATGCTTGGAAGGTCCGCTTGCTGCTTCGAAAGTTGGGTCCTAGTGAACTAGACAAGTATTGCAATCTAATTCTGCCTTTAAACCCACGCGATCGTTCATTCTCCGACACTGTCCAGTCATTGAGCCAACAATTCGGAGACAACTCCTCACTATTCAATGCGCGCTATCGATGTTTGAAGCTCACTATGAACGAAGATGATGATTTTCTCACACATGTGGGTATTGTCAACCGAGAATGTGAACGCTTCCGGTTGAAGTCGCTTACTGAAGATCAATTTAAAGCACTCATTCTCATCTGCAGCCTTCAATCGCAGAAGTTCAGTGACATTAGAACACGTTTGCTAAGTCGATTGGACCAAGACCCAAAACTAACTCTTAATGATATTGCAAATGAATATCAACGTCTAATCAATCTACAGCGTGATACTACAATGGTCCAGCGTGGTGGTTCAAATCGTACCGAAGTTCATGTAGTCCAACAACCACTCAACTCGCATAAATCTGCCCCAGCTACATCTAGTTCAGGTCGACAGACAAAAACAAATCCTCCTGCTCCATGCTGGCACTGCGGTGCATGGCATTTTGTTCGATACTGTCCATATAAGCAACATCGGTGCAGGAAATGTAATGTGGTGGGTCATAAAGATGGTTTTTGTCGAAAAAAGAAGCCGACAAACTCCAGAGGTACCAGAAAACCTACGCCTAGATCCAACACGAATTCGTTGAGTCTAATAGCAAGCTGTGAGAACTCAACCCCAGTTGAGAGGAAATTTATTACCCTTAATATTAATGGGCACCCTCTTAGATTGCAAATAGACACTGCATCTGATGTAACGATTCTCTCACGAAAATCTTGGATCAGAATGGGAAGACCACGCCTGGTGCCGACAACACAAAAACCGCGAACCGCATGTGGTAATTATCTACGTTTGTTGGGACAACTAGATTGTAAAGTGTCTTTTCATGATTCGACGTTTACCGGGTTATGCTACATAACACCAGCTGATCTAAATTTGCTTGGGTTAGATTGGTTCGATCACTTAAATTTAGCTGATGTTCCGTTGAATACCATATGCAACCTGGTTTCACAACCCCAACTTCGACAACAACCACATGACTTGGAAGCATATACGAGGAACCTAATGACGGAGTTTTCGACCAGCGAACATCATACGGCCGGCGAAGATGCAGTTATTGCCTCCCCATTGACAGAGGACCGCGCACAGTGTCAGCAAGCAGCCAAGTGTAACGCGAAGTTACTGCCGGTCCCATGGCCACAGCCTGAGTATCCTTGGTCCAGGATACATGTCGATTTCGCAGGCCCAATTAATGGAATTACTTATCTAGTCGTTGTTGACGCCTTCTCGAAATGGCCAGAAATCGTTCCCGTCATGTCACCAACGTCAACTCAAACGATAAAACTTTTGACAGAGATGTTCTCTCGCAACGGGTTACCGGATATAATCGTTTCCGATAATGGTTCGCAATTCACCTCAAGTCAATTTCAAGAATTTTGCAAACGCCTATCGATCAAGCATTTCCGCTCTCCACCTTATCACCCACAGTCAAATGGACAAGCAGAAAGATTTGTAGATACATTCAAGAGAGCTCTAATGAAGTCGAAAGGGGAGGGGACGACAGTAGAAACACTGCAGAATTTCTTGTTTGTTTACCGAACAACACCTAGTGATATGCTACCACAGCAGAAGTCCCCGGCAGAGATCCTGATGGGAAGGAAATTGAGGACGATCCACAGTCTCATGTGCCCAAGAACCACACCACCACCATCCCATACCAAATCTCAGAAGCTTCCAGCGTACGAGGTTGGATGCCCCGTGTTCGCTCGAGACTACAGAGCAAATCATGGTCCTTGGATCGAAGCACGTGTGGTTGGAAGACTAGGTCAAGTTATGTACGAGGTAAAGGTGGGAAGAGACACGTGGACTAGACACCGAAACCAACTACGTAAGCGGATTGCCCCAGACCACCCATCAAATGCAGTAAATCTTCCCTTCGACATCTTGCTTGATACTTTCAACTTACCTGCAGCCCCACCACAAGAAGCTCGACAGCAAGCTGATCCCCGTCCCAGAAGGTGGCCTCTCCGTCAGCGGCGAACTACAGTCAAAATGCAAGTCGACCCCAGAAAAGCGCGCTATTAAAAAGGGGAGGAGTGTTGGGGACGATAGATCCCCAAACTCATATTTTTAAAATTTTATTGTATCGATCAACTTATTGATAAAATGTTTAAATATTTGTATTGGGGTCATTTGATGAACTGATCGATTAAAAGTTTGTATAGCAGTCAGTTGATGAACCTATCAATTGGATGTGCAAGTCAATTTATGAACTCATTGATTAGTGTTTACAATTTTCCTATGACAATATCGATTGTAAATATTGTATAAATACGCGTGAGTTGTGTGTTTGACTTGACTTGTTCGCTACTGTTCGCTGCTGCTGCTTGCTTGCTTGCTCGCTCGTTTTCTGGTTGTATGCAGAATATATTTTCCATACCAAGCCTGGACTTCTCCTTCTAGATAGCGGGGCTGGGACGCGTCAATAGTTAGATTACTGGTCTTTGGTCATTGAGTATTGTTCTCGTTCGCAGTCTAAGTGAACCCGTGAAGCTTCAAACCTAACAGTTCCAGAGTTAAATAATAATTAAACTTTAACTATATTATTAAAATTGATAAACATCCCTTATCTGAATGCTATCAGATCAAGTCTGTCCGTATATACTGAAGGTGTCTTCATCAAACGACTAGTATCTGCAACGATGTTGTCTTTTCACAATTCAAGGAAAGGGTTGGACAAGGTTGGTCCTAAAAACAAAATACCTCAGCATATCCTACTTATTTTCTTCATCAAGGGTAACGTAACGAATATTAAGTTTTTCTACACTCCTCTCATTCTCTCTGGAAAAACGTAGATTAGAAATGAAAGACCTATACTGCGATTCACAGTTCAGTTTACAGTGAATGCGATTGGTGACAAAGTGAAACTTATTGGAGTGTTACCATGCTCCGTAACACTCAAGGATCTGATTATATTTGGGATATGACAAGCTAAACTTATTGGACTTTCTAAATTCACAGGCTAACTGGATGCGCAGAAAATCTGTGTAAATAACGTCGGTAACATTTTGCATTCATTTCTCATTCAAGAACGCGTCATCAACTTTATTTGAAGCAATTAACGGTTTCATTTGTCAGAGCATACAGGGGATGAAAATTGACCTCTAGAATTAATTTTACTACATTAATGGTACAATCCATTAATTTCACCAGAATCATTTAGCCAAATGACCTTAATGGATTGGTTAATGTACTTAGTTTTAACCATATTCATGGTCAAACAACAAATAAAAAACAGACAACCAGATAGAGAAACTTCGAGCTGTGAATAAGTGACCTCGAAAATGAGACTAGAAGAGAGCTCACCAATATGTAGTGGCCCAAATTCTAGGACCGAATTCAGATGCACATAACTCCAAAGTAACAATTATAAAGGAGAATTGCACTTATAAAGTACACAATGTAAAATAACTGAAATAAAACTGAACATATACTTGTAAAACGTCTGGATCAGAAATCAACCATACAAAAGTTCACTCAATCGATTGCAGTAATTCAACCGAATTGGGGACTAATGAATTATCAGAAAATGTGTATATTTTACAGTGTTTTTAGTTCTAGACTATATAGGAACCTTTCAAGGTGTAAATCAGCGTAATATCTATACAACTCCATAGACATGTACGGTTAGTGATGCAGATGGATACGATTCGGAAGCCCGATGTTTTTTTTGCACTCCGCAGCGAATAACGGTACTTTGTAAGTAGTTCTTGCTATGTTAGCTTTGCACTTTAAAGGTCTAATCATTTGTGTGAGAATAATGTTTCTCTTCAAAATGTACATGTTATGCTCACCATTTTTGTCATACAGGGAAAGCTAACACTTTTCATCCTGTCCTGTTTTGCATACTGCTTATTTTTCAGATTTTTCTCCCCTTATTAGTTCAAATTATTTGTTTACATTCCAATCCATCGGTACGTGATCAATTTCTCTGCCTATTATTTGATTTCCTTTCAACTACTTCGTCTCCTACCTTATCACCTCAATCATCATTATTGTCAATTGAGCATAAAATGTATGTGGATCATATGAATCCACCTAGTTTAATTAAAATGAATACTGGTTGTGATTCAATTGGCCGTATAAATCATGATGAATTCTCTAAGCATATATTAAATGCTTTACGATTATTAGCTTCATATTTAGGTAAGTGAAAAATTGTCTAATTATATTTTATGACAGCCTGTTATAAAAATGAGTGTTTTGTTTCTGAATTTCTCACTGGATAAGGGATATGTTAGATTAGATTGAAATAAAAACCGTTGAAATCACTAACCGATTAATGTAAGACCACCATCCAAAGCCTGGAAGCACTAGACGGCATTTCGTCCTAGTATGGAACACCCTAGCAACGCGCATCCTCGACCCCTCAATCGGGAATTGAACCCAGCGCCTTCGATCTTGCTCTTGAACGCTTAGCCTATAGACCATCTAGCCGTCATCCAGCGGTATTGGTTTCTGACTTCAATCAATCCACGATATTGTGTAACCGTTTTCTATTGTCTTCGGTAAGTAATTGTCTCATACCTGACACGATTTTGCTCCATTGATCACGGTTTCTCACTAAGACTCTGGGAATTTCATCTCAAAGCTATTCATTAGTGAGCACATGATAATTGTCAGTAAGTTGTACGGTTTATGGTTTTTCATTGAGATTATGAAATTAAAGTCACACAGATTTTTTTTATTCATTTATTTACAGTAATTATTACAATGTTTACATTAATTGACCATTGGTTAGTAACCAGTGTGATGTTTGTCTAGTATTAAGTCCTGGTTGGATCCTGTCGATCAAGTTACAGCGTGATCAGTAGTTTAATTAATTCGTTTCCTATCGACTGCTTGGAAATCACCTAACATCAAAATATAGAGACTCAGTGTTAAATCACTTAAACTAATAGCTGCTTGCAACTTGACTGTTATGACTCGGTCATCACTAATCACTATATGAATATGACACTAGCCATAACCCAGTGATCGACCAGTGTAAATATTTCAGTCCTATAGGAGATCAGTCTCTCTTCGGATCGGTCAGTGGTAACTTCTTAGATTTTATAGCTGAGTGATCACCGGCGTTCATCACTTCCTTCAAGATTGCTGTTAAATGTTGCTGACAAGTACCAACTAGCACAAAACTTAGATCCAAAGTTTTCTGTCGATTGCCTCCGTTCACCTAATATTGTTACGATATGTTTGAAACAGTCAGAAAATTTACAACTTCGTTTATTATTTAAGTTTGTCGCGTTTGGGTAATTACGGTGTAAATTAGATGCAAAGCAAGCAGTTGACCTCAAGAGTTGTTTATTTGCACATACACAGCACATGATTGTAGACAAAACAGGACACTTTGATCCTTGATGACTTTCATCCACTTAGTAATTCCATCGGATTAGTTTGTATGTTATGTGAATGGTGAAAGCATGTTAAATACCCTAAAAAAACATTTTTTTGGCAAAAAATCAAATGCAACTATGTCTCAGTTAAATATAATTCTGACTTGTTTCAATGTAATTTTCTGTGCAAAAAGAAATGCTCCACACAAATTAAGTGATCACCTAGTGAAGAAAAGGATAAGGAGAAATCCGTAAGGTCTATGAATGAATACAGAAGAATAGTATTTAATAAAAGATACCTCCTGATACCCATGTACGACTAAGAGTTTAAACAGTCTCCCCTCTCACTTGAAACGCTGTCAAATGGCCACACGTCTTTTTACTGTTTGGTAGAAAAGTCGTCACACCTTTCGCTTAACGAATGTGCTTTTATGAAAGGTTTATGGGTGGACATCCAACGCCTAAACCGGGTTTATAAATACCGAGTAGAATCCATTTGATTAAGTTAGAAAGTCCTTATATCAAAACATTAGTATACATAACAGGTTCTAGGATTCTAGTAAACAAATGGTGTACGAACCTATTTCTCTCACTGGCTATTACTGGACTTCATTTCTCGACGTCAGTGGCTTCATGGCTTTATGGATTAGATCTCTGGGTCTAAAGCTCAGAGTTTGATCTCCCTAGGAAAACCATCTGATCCAGTTTGGACGTTCAGGCAGTAGTATCCCACCCCATACACATAAAATTTAATATTACTCAAGAAAATGGAAGTTATAACAACAACTTAGATAAACGTATCGGACTCTTAGCACTAACTGAATTCTGTCCATCATTGAAAAAGAAAACATTTCACCATCCGCAAATGTTCTACATTTTAAAAGTTTGTTTTTTAGGTCGACTTGCGTTTATCATAATTCATTTCCATTCATGAATTTCAATAAGCGGTAATCAAAACCTCTACTGATATACACAACTCTAGAGTTATTATTAATGCATTAATAATTTCATTAATCGATTATCTTTATCAGTATTGGAACTAAAAACTTTTTTTTGTATCTAACATATCATGTTGTCTACATATTCATACTGTCACTTTGATGACATTGTTTATTCACCTTTGATCTTGGATGACAAAGAGATAATTACGACTCACAGCGTTAAGTTAGCATATTATTATAACTAATTCAAGCATATTATTCGCTTGTCTGATATTAGATCTACATTTTAAACAAAAAGTTGGAAAGTTATTTTATACGAAGTGTTTCATATCGTACTTTTAACAAATCATTCTGTTACAATCTATCCTTATTGTATAGGTCCTGCTCGATTGGAAGGTGAACTGTTACCGGGATTATGGTTACAAATAAATAAATGTCCAATTTCTGATCTATCCAGAAGGCTTCTTTTAGTGTCGGCCTGCGGTGTAATCGCTCCTCACCTTCCGGTTAGTTAAAAATCATATTGTTGTCTTATACTATGATTGCTGGCCTACGATTGGTGTGTATTTTCATATTCTATAGTGCATAACTGAATCTGGGATTACCCACGGGGTAAACCCTCCAAATAAAGTGTTCTCGTCTGGCCGTAAAGTAGATACGTTGTATCCCGTGAAGAGAGAGTATGAATAAATCTGAAAAAAAGAAGAACAAGAGACAAAGTAAACAGACTCATGAAACATGCTGTTTGCAATTGCAATTAATAACGTAAACAATCAACAAAAATAAGCAATAACACAAGTGTGAGATTAAGATAATATAAAAATGGAAACTAGAAGTTAGTGCAGTAAAATTTTAAATGTGCTACACAGTTTTCCCTGGTACGAAAGCATTATCCCAGTACTTGTTTTACTTTAAATAAGAATAAGAACAGGTTTGCCTGACATTTCTTTTGTGTTAGCATTCTTGAAAGTTCACCAAAATTATTGAATTCAGTGTTTGTATTAATAAGTAAAGTTGGACGATTGCAGCTAGTTGAATGTGCTTACTTACTTACGCCTGTTACTCCCAATGGAGCATAGGTCGCCGAAGTTGAATGCTCACCAAGCTATAAATTTACTGGCATCTCATCGCGAGATTTATTTCAACGGCGATTCCAACTATCTGATCCAGTTGTACACTATTACTTAAACTACAAATGATGCAAAATTCCGTTTCGTTTTGACTGAATGACTTCAAAAATGGTTGGTTACTGATTGTATATAAAACATTCATAATGAATTTATGTATTCAGAAAAAATATTACCGATAGGAATTTCATTTATTTAAACACATAAACATTGGTACAAGAAAGCGCCACACAAATCATTCGATTCATACTCCATTTGTTCCCTCAGGATCCTGGAGCCGATGTGCACCATTGGTATGGAATCAGGGATTTTTAACCCCTTAGGTGGATCTTCCATATTCACCAATCCGGGTAAAGCGCTGGACATTCGCTTTTCGTTCTCTCATTTTCATAAACAACACCCCCGCCACGAGAAGATAGTGAGTAAGACTTCCCTGACAGTATCTTTGTACGCATGGTCATGTGACAAAATTTTGAGGGGGAGAGGTGATTCTCGCACTTTTGGCTGTATCTGTCATCAGTCTCAGCCGTTGTTCTTCAGTCGAATAATATTCTTAAATCCTCAGAAAGCTTGAACATAAATCAGCGATATGTGTAGTACATTCAGTCAGTCAGTAACAACGTAGAACTTCGTGCGTACGTACGTACGTACATCAGTTCGAGTTGCCACACCACATTGGCACAGTAATGCATTTGTCGATTCAAATCCCGTAGTGGTAGAGGTAGCAAGAGTATAAGCAGTAATCGGGAAGATTAGGGTTTGAAGATGTTATTCAAGAAGTATAATCCAGTGAAATAAATTTGAAAAGAGGAAAAAGGAAAGGGACATGAATTCAGAAGATTAGAATTCGGATGAACACGAAGAGTGGATGCACCTGCGCCATTGTAAACGATTTTGAGCCATGTCATTCAGGGTCTCTAACCATTGGTTGCTATCATCTCGCGGATCCCAACCAGATAGTCGACACCTACCAACATGGCTCAGTCCACTTGTCAGTGACTTCATGGACTTGTACCATGTTTTGGTCTGGCCGCCCCTAGCTTTCTTCCAACCTATTACTATACCATTGGACATCGCACGTCGAAGCAGTTGGTGGTTGGTCATACGTAACACATGTTCTGGCCATCTCAACTGATGAAGTTTCATCACTTCATCAATTGATTTGTCATCCTTACCTAGTACCCGTTTCCTAACAACTGCATTACTTAATCGATGGTCCGAGGATATACGAGCAATGTTTCGAAGACACCTATGATCAAATACTAGTAACCTACGAATATCCTCTACTCTTGACGGCCATGTTTCACTACCATAAAGTAAGACGGAACGAACTTCTGCGCAGTAAACCCGTCCTTTGGTTGATAGACGGATATCTGGCCTACGCCATAAATGACGCAAGTTGGTAAAAGCTAGTCGAGCCTTCTGCATCCGTACTGAGATTTCGTTACACACCAGATCACAAGGGCTGATGAGACTTCCAAGATAAGTGAAGCGGTCGACATTCTCAACTACTTCACTCCCTATCATTAGTTCGGATGTCAATGCAACCCAATCCTGAAGCAACATTTTGCATTTCGAGGGAGAGAATCGCATCCCGAACATGCTTGCATTGTTGCTTATGGTGGTCAGAAGACTCTGCATTTTGTCAGGGTCTTCACCAAATAGAACTGTCATCGGCATATTCTTGGTCAACAAGTGAATGTCCCAGTAGATGTCCAACCTCTGGAAATTTGGATTAGAAAAGTGTTATCTCTAAAAGCACGTCAACGACAAAGTTAAGCAAGAATGGAGAGTGGACAGCCCTGACGAACACCACTTGAGGTAATCAATTCTGATGACAGTTCGCCAAAAGCTCTCACTCGATCAGTTGTGTTCGAGTAGAGAGCCTTTATAAGGTTGATGTACTTCTTTGGTACTCCTTTCAATGACAAACACTGCCATAGAACCTCACGATCAACAGAGTCGAATGCCCCCTTGAGGTCGAGAAATACTACCATTGTAGGACGTCTGAATGTGTGTCTACGTTCTAGGACCTGACGTAGTGTGAATATCTGATCTATACAACCACGTCCAGGTCGAAAACTAGCCTGATTTTCTTTAGTCTGTTCTTCATGAATTTTGGTTAGGCGTCGAAGTATTATTGAAGCTAATATTTTAGACACTATACTAGTCGAACTGATTCCTCTGTGATTGTCACAAGAGGACTTTTGTCCTTTCGTATAGACTGGCACAATCAATGATTGAGACCAGTCAGATGGGATTACGTCCAGTTCCCAAATTCTACCTAAGACCTCAGTCAATCTCACTGCTAATACTGAACCACCATCCTTAAAAATCTCAGGAGTAGTAAACCTGTCAGGGCCTGCTACTCTCCCTCGCTTCAGATTTCCTATAGCTTTTTCAACTTCGTAAAGAGTCGGAGGACCTACATTAACTTGCCATTCAGGTTGACTGGAGATCGTGGGAAACCGAAGTGTGGTTGAAGGCCAATTGAACTGATCCCTAAAGTGTTCTGCCCATCGATCCAATCTCCTGGATTGAGAATGTATAATATGTCCATCTTTCTCTGAGAGTGTTTCGCTAACAGTCGGGTTCCTAATACCGGTTTCCTTAACAAGTCTGAACAATTGTCTGCTATTACCTATTGCCGCTGCCTTTTCCATCTCTCTTGCTTTCGCTACCCACCACTGTTCGCGATCATTGCGTAGACTTCTTGTCAGCTTGCGCTTAGGCCGACTCCGCTCTTCACTATGTTCAGAGCCAGGTGGAATGAGTTTTCGAGCATCTATCAGTGCGATAGATGCTGCTGAGATCCAGTGTTTCTCCCTAACCTTTTGATTTACCTTACTAGCAGATATCACTGCTGTTTCCACAGCTTTTCGGATATCATTCCAAGCTGCATCGGGGTGGGCATCACATACATGGCTGCCTAACTGTTTTCCTAGTTGTTCCGGAAATTTACTTCTAGCTTGACTATCATTAACCAGCTTGGTCTCGTGTGCTGTTACGGGTATGAGAGCTGGTGTCACTGCTGTCGCACCCCTCTACAGTCAGCTGTACAACTTAGCCCTCAGACCTTGAGTTGCTGCTTTTAGTCTTACCGTTCTCCAATTGACCTGCCTGGAATGGTAGAACCTACAGGAATATATGTTCCAGGCAATATAGCTCGGTTGGGTCATCACGATAGGCAAGCCCGACCACCGCATCAAGGTAACAGCTACGGTCGGGTGTAGTATATTCAGTAAAAATAGTGCGCAAATTTATTCGAGTCGAAATACTCTTAAAATGGTTGTTATGAAAGACTGATAGTCAGAGCTATTTATGTATAAGTCTGAATAAATTTCTATTAATGGGCTAGATAAAGTAGAGTACAATTTACTGGATTTTACCAACCGATGGATATTAAATAAATCTTAACGATTTGTTTATTACTGAGATTTTAGGTGATTGGAGGTAGTTGACAAAAAACCCTATTTGATGTAAGTTCTTTATCATTTGATACTCGTTAACAAGGTGTTCAACCTGTTATGCCCTGTTATGACCTTGACGTCTGGCTTTTCTATCATGCGACGTATCCACCAATCAGAATACGACTTATACAAATCTTCACACTACGCCAAACCAATGACGTCCAACCGGTATGAGCAGTCTAGCGTCCTTATTGGTCCTATGTCCTCCTAGCCCGTCCACTAGAGTTCGCAACACAACACCAGTTTCTGCAATATGAATTGGATCGTTTATTTCAGACATACTCGGTTTAGGTTTATATATCAACCAGACAGACCACAACGTACCATAGAGTAGAAAACAACATATGCTCACAAATAAGCCGAAAAGTGTCTGTGAACGCGGGAGATAGTAATTAATAAACTGAACATAGATTAAGAACCGTAAGTCGTTTAATAATAAATTATAGGACAGAATGAAGCTTGTAATAAGGGAAATACAAATATACATAATGTAATTATTGAATAGTTATACAATAAGAATATTTATAGAATATTAGTCCATTAATTGTCCTCAGAAGTTACCCGTAATTTAATCTTCACTCGGATATAACATGTCCTTTAGCCCGCAAACTATTACGTGACAAGATCGCCAATCAGAACACCGACCTATAACAACCTTGACCCTGTATCAAACTACTGACTTGTTAAACAGCTCGAGCAGCCTAGAATTAACTCTGAGTCCTTGCTGGTTCTTCTCGCATAGCCCTGCCCGTTTGAGTCCAGAACACAATCTCAGCTCCCTCTGTATGAACCGTATAATTCAGACATGCCTGGTTTATACATAAGCAGATCAGACCATATTACACCATAAAATGAAAACTAACAATTATACAAAATCAAGTCATATTGGCTATAAATATGGGAGAATGTAACTAGTAGATTATATATATATATATATATATATATATATATATATATATATATATATATATATATATATATATATATATATATATATATATATATATATATATATATATATATATATATATAGCTTACTGTCCTATAAGTCTTCCGATAATGGAGGATAACATAGAGGTTTTCAATTTCATTCTAGATATAGTTACTGGTTTCAGTGTAGCTATCTTGACCTTAGCTAATAAAAATTAATAATATGTTTCGTTAGCAAACCTTCGTAGCGAAAATACGCTGCGATACTGTACATCAACTCAGAAGTGTCAGCGAAGTAATGCGTCTAAACAGATGATTATATAAACGATTCTGGCATAAGACATCATGATACTCGCAATAAGTTTAGACTTTATAATTTTATACTAACAATCACACCTCTTGAGGCGCTCCATAGATAAGCACTTTGTAAGATCGCTCTAGCCAATGAGATCATTTCAGTTACAAACCCAACTGAGTTAAAGATGGAGATCATTCATGACAAAATAATCTTTCGAGTTGGGTGCATGTTAAACTCATGCAATCTAAAGTATAAATTAATAGTTCAGGCATCCCACTGTATTTTTCAAGTTCTCGTCGCCTACGCAAAAATCTCTACCTAATCACTCATTGAGAAACATTAACGTTTTCAGTTATCAATCCACTTCCCTTTATTTTCCTAATTCCCCATTTCACTTTTTTCGATTATTATTATTATTATTATTATTATTATTATTATTATTATTATTAATGATTGCAGTCGCATTTACAATCTTCCATAATGTTATGTATCATGGAATCCAGCCTGGATGAAGAACGTAATCCAACAGTACTGGCAGCTAGTATACGTTCTCTGTCATGTCTAATTAGTTCAATGTCGGATTCTTATAAATTGCCACAAATTATACGTCGACTTAATTCATTTCTTATACAAACTGCAAATATATTCAATGATCCGCAACAGTTAAAACTGTTTTATTTATCAAATAAGAATTCATCATCATCGGGAACAACAACGACAACAGTGCAATCATTATCTAATCCCATATATAATGCTACTATGAATTATTTCTTATCATCTATAGCCCAATGGTGTTTAGAATTAGACTCTATTCAACAAGTTCTACTTGATCCATGGTTAATTCATTTCGATAATTATATTTTAGTAAGTCTATATTGTCTCTTCTTTTTGAAAAAAAAATCATAATAAATATTTAGATTATGGCTAGAGCAGTATTTTATCGACCACAACTAATTAGAATGTAATTATGGCACGAAAAGCTAATCCAACGTCAATCCTGAATATAAATGGTGCTTTTAAGAATCCTAATAAGTTTGTTTACTGTTTATTTTACAACAGCATCAGGGCCAAGTTTGTTTGACGTCCTGGTGATACGTACAATAGGACTGATCACTAGAAATATGATCTCAACTGTCACAACTGACTCACATTTACCTGATCAATACGTTATTCATTATTCTCAGTACACCATTTACAAACCATTGACAGTCACACACATACCACTATTTCTCTCGATCATACTAATCATAATCGATTGTCACCAACATGTTATTGAATCATATTGTTGACTAAACAACTAACTAACTAACTCGTACACACTGATCATATGATCTTGCAGTTTTCCCACTACCATGCACCGTATACTACTGATACGATGCAGAATTTCCACTACTACCTGACTGGTTCCATGCCCCGCTCCATCTAGTCCGGTTTAATTAATAATAGTTAGTACAATTAATTCTACCACACAATAATGTATATTATCACTCAGTTGTATCAAAGTCCTAAAATAAAACATCATGGTATTTTCAGATTCTTATTTTCTGTACTAACAGTAACACGAGTTGAGTGGTATTGTAATTAAATTACATAAAAACAGATCAACTAAACTCAACAGTGTACACGTTTTTAGCCAGATCAAAACGTCATTTCGTAAAATTATCGATTATTGCTTTGAACCATGTGGATAAATGTAGACTACCTGGTTAGGGTCCGCGCGATAAACAGGATCAGTGATTAGTGATGTCAAATAAATTTAGTTTAGAATCGGTCATAATGGTTACAGACGTTTCAATTCTTTGTTTGACTCTAATCATTGAGTTTCAACATTTCTTCATAAATCTCTTTTCAAAAATGAAGAATATTCGAGTGAACAATTGTTTTCAATAACTTCATTATCAGGCTCTACAGTTCTAAGTCCATAATTATTGTGATATTTTACTAAGGCCAAATAAGGCATGTATTAATCAAATGGACAGTGTTATATGTTAAAAATGACCAACGTGAGCATATGTTATGACATAAATACTTCGAAATATTGTTATTTGTAAATTAGAAAGGTCAGAATGATTTGGAGTAGTGTCAAGTCACAATCAGTATGATAGGAAAAAATCGTGTGCATAAAATGCGTAGTAGGAGAATTTCATCTTGTTAATCGAGGTAATAATAATATCGTTTTGTGAATATAATATGTAATAAGATGGGCGTGTTATCAAGACAATTACGATAGAAAGGATTCATGTGAATTTGGAAAGATGAAGATTCAGAAACATGTAACCAAAAAATGGGGAAGGGGGGTAAGAGGTTTTCAATATCCTATGCTCCGGTTGTAGGCCAAAGTAAATATAAAGGCTGGATATATCCTTTCTGGATACATATGTTCGGTTTTCTGGAGTTGATCCAGATGGCTTCGGCTATATAGAGTAACCGTAATCTAGCTCCTTGAGGTAAATTCTTTGGAACTTGATATAAAACAGAAAACTCCCTCTATTTGAATATGAGGTTAACTATCTACCAATTGAGAAAGAATGGTACCATAAATAGTTTTAGTAATTCCTTTTCCCAACTATGCTGGTACATGTTTATGAACACGCAAGAATAAAGCCCTCTGAGTACGGCCTATGTAACTAGCTCCACATTAGCAGTTGAATCGGTATACACACACGGAGGAGCCCATCCTTGATTTGTTGTGTAAGTACTAGTTTAGTTGAGAAAATTATGTGTAACTTTGAGGCATGAAAAATCCTTTCAACAGATCTTTTGAGTTGACGTGTTAAAATTTCACTCGCTGTCTCCTAAGTCCAGTTTCAGTTACAGGGTTGCTTTACTGACCGAGAGCCACAATTTCTTTTTTTTAATACCTTCTAATAGAAATTTTCTGACGAAACTATCTGGATGGTTGTTATTTCGTAATGTCTTCTTCAGTGTGTTTATTTCTCTATCTACACTATCTTCAGAACATAATAGTTTGATCCTGTGACTGAGACGTTTTACCAAATTTATTTTGTATTGAACAGGTGCAAAGCTATGGAAATGGGTATATTAACCCGTCCATGTATTTTTTCTAAATGTATTTCTTTTTATGACGCGTCTATTCTTCTAGAAAATAGAACACCAAGGAATGCTATTCTATTGTCTTTCAATAGCTGAGTGAACGTTATTAAAACAGTTCAACAGCTCTTCTTTATCGATATTCTCGTCACATACGATTAGTTTGTCATCTATATATCAACAGTAATAATCTAGCTTATTTAGGATGTCTTTCAACAGTCCATTTTCTAGTTGGGCCAGAGAAATATTACCAAGGATCGGACCTAGGGGTGATCCCACTGCTATTCCATCTATTTGAATGTATAATTCATTGTTAAACATAAAGTAGATATTCACAGTACATTTCAACAGAAGTTCCTTCATTTTATTTATTGAGATCGGTATCTCTATATTCTCTTCTAGCAATTATTCACACATCTAATCGATATTTTCATTCAATGGGATGCTAGTGAACAAAGATTCTATGTCTAGTGATAACATGGTTCCACTATTTATATTCATTTTTTTAAATTGTATCCACAAATTCAAATACGTCTTTGACGCTATGCTTAACCGATTCTCGATGTAACAGTTCTAATAATTCCATCCAAAATTTTTGATTCATAATCCTATTCGTGAAATATTGACTCTACCGTGGATTGGAACTAAATAAATGTTAGTTTTTTTCTAACTTAAGTTTACTCTGTTTAGAGTGTGGTATGCCAAGTGAAACTAAGCTATGATCAGTGACCAAAGGCAGATGTATCCAGCTACACTAAATATAAGAGACTGTCGCATACGTAAAATTCATACCACTTTAATTCCATATGTTGACTATTCTATGTTATGTGTTTATAAGCATTCCTTTGTGCCTTTGTTTCTGCTTCTTGGTCATTGGGCAAATGATTAGTCTTATGTTTCACGTGAGCAAATATCCTGCTCCACGTCTACTATTTCTTATGTAGCCTAGTGTTTCCGGCTCATCCAGTTACATGCTCGATCAGCACCATTGACATTGAGCCAACACAGCTAAGTCTGTTATCCGTAAACTTCTATCTATCCCCTGCCTTAAGTCCTTAACTCGACAGGCAGCTTCTACCGTATTCATATTGTAAATAGACGTGGTTTAGATACAGACATCCTGAACAGCACTACACCATAAAGTGAGAAATAAAAATTGTACATAATTGAGCAATAAGTGACTGTGAATAGACCAAACTGTAATTAATAGACTCGAAACACATTAAGAATATTAAGTCGTATGACAGTATATATATACAAACAGTAATCTAGTTACTCATTACAGCAAACGTTTAATTAGTAAGTTCTAAAAAACCCTTTCCAGTTCTTTCAATATTCGTCCCGTTAAAAACGATTTCCTCTCTCTTCTCTTTTCGTAGGCACGTCAAAATACTAAAGATGAGGTCGCACCTGATATGGTATTGCTTTATTTAAATACCCTATATTATTTAGCACCATTTCTTCATGCTTGGTTATTATTATCATTAATAAAAAAATCAAATCCTGATGAAAGTTTATGGTTGTCTATGCGAAATCTACTTCATGCTTATCGTAATTCAGCTTCAGAATTTGAACATCTTTTGAGAAAGAATTTCACATATAAAGGTAAGAGTAATAAACTCATATATGTTAACTAATTATTTCAGTTAATTATTTTTCCTTTGCTCATTATAGTCATAGATAACATGGAACCTGGTTTACTCGAACTCTCACCCTTAGGTTGTATCTTAGAGAAATACTAATTTTGGCGCTGAAAATTATGCGCTCATCAATTTAGTGCCAGCTATTGACTGTATTTATTATCACGGACGAATGATGAATTATAAGTCGTTGAATAATCTAGTATACTGTCATGGACTTAATTACGTTAGCGTATAACGGAATAAAACAAGTCAAATACAAGAGTGACTTTGGCCACATAGATTTCATACAGCCATTAATATAAACAGACAATAAAGGACGCAAAGTGGAGTAGGCAAAACACTACTCAAAACATTACTCATTATAAGCGTTAATGTCACTCAAAATGAACAGCGGATAGTGCGATCAAGGAAGCATGTATGAGATGATAAGTATACAGATACACACATAAGATGTATAAGTATAGAATGACGAGGAAACGAATATATCACAACCCTTTAATGATAGATTACTGTTGTTTACTATTTATGTTATTTACCTATTTGTTTTTTCGATCTACGGAACGCTGTTGTTTTTTATTCTCCGCATTATGATCCACACAGAGCCTGACCTAGTCAAATCTTCTCCCACTAATACTGCCACCACCATTACCAACATCAACACCACATTGGATTTCATTGATACTTCAATAATTCTTGGACAAGATAGCTTTGAAATATTATCAGAAATGATGAAATATATATGTAAGTCAGACTTGTCAATGTCAACCATACCATCAACATTATCATCAAATCAAACTGGTGATTTGGAACAATCATTTCACGCTAGTCATATATGTCAAATCGATAAATGGATAGCAAAACAATGGTTTGATAAACATTTAATCTGTAAATTAATTGACTTGCTAGAACAATTACCTTATTGTAATAATGGTGATCTTTGTTTAAAAATGAAATCATTCCTTGACTTGGATTATGCTAATGGTTGTTTTGATGATGTAATTAAAGTGAGTGTAATTAATCTACACCATGTATATTTTATCAATTTTGTGATGTGAAGAGATGAGTTTTGTGTATCCTCAATTAATCGAAACACGAATGACCTCTATTGAATTACGGGGGAGAGGGAACTATCTTACTCCATTGACACACTTTAAATGCCTATTTGACTTATCACTGTCGGTTTCCACCAATTAGTTTTCTATTCTATCTTTTAAAATCAGTTTCAGTTTGAAAAGGACAGGATGCTAGATGGCATGTGTTAGTCCTGGCAATGATGGTCTCTCAGTTGATCCAACTTTCTTTTGAAAGCTTCGACAGATGGAGCTTTAATCACGTGTTGAGGTAATGAATTCCACTCGTTGGTGACTCGATGGGAAAGTCAGTAGTCAACTGACAAGTAATTTGTTCTGGGATTGTGAACTTTTTTGGAGTTTCCACGTAAATTCTCTGTTTTAGAAGACAAGAAAAGTGAGGACATATCAGGTGCAAATTTATCACTAAGCAATTTTAAAACTGTGATCAAGTCGCCTCTAGTTCTTCGATATGACAAGGGGAATAGGTTTAGCTTGGCCAATCGAGTATCATACGGGAGCTTCGCTATTCCGGGAATCAGCTTAGCTTTTGTTCTCTGAACCTTTTCCAAAACTTCACTGTCTCTTTTTAAACAAGAGCTAGCCGATTGTATGCAGTACTCAAGTTTAAGACGTACGGACACTGTATATAAAGTCAAAAACGTTTTAACATCGACATGACTAAAGACCCTAAGTATTGACCATAAGGTTTTAAAACCTTTGGCACCTATTGCACTGCAGTGTGCAGTAGATAGCTCACTGTTATTTATCGTGTGTGTATCTATACCTTGATGACCGATATGCATCACAATACACTTGGAAGTATTAATCGGCAACTGCCAAGTTTGATACTATTCAGATGATTTCTCCAGGTCATTTTGAAGTTCTAAGCTATCACCTTCACTTATTATCACTCTCCATATCTTGATCTCGTCAGTATACAACAAGACCGATGATGGTAGGAGACGAGGAAGGTCATTCACGTACAAGAGGAATAACAATGGCTCCAAAACTGTACCCTGAGGCACTCTACTAAGCACAGTTTCCCAGCTAGACAACTTGGAGTTCACCCGTACTCTTTGTTGGCGCCTAACTAGGAAGTCTTTTATCCAAATTAATAGATTGCCTACAACCTTGACATTTCTTAACTTATATAATAGCTGGTTGCAAGGAACTTTTCAAAAGCTTTGCTGAAGCCAATGTAGGCTTCGTCTATTGGTAACTTTTGGTCTTTAAGAGCGCACCAGCTTTCACAAGCCACTAATAAGTTAGTGAAACAGAACTAAGCTTTTCTAAAACCATGCTGCTTTTCCGAAAGGATCCGGTTTTCATCGAGATACTTAAACAGCTTCTTCCGAATAATCTTTTCTAAAATTTTAACAACCACGCTAGTTAGGTTAACGTGTCGATAGTTCTCAGGTTTATGTTTAGTACCCGTTTTGAAGACAGGACTTACTGTGGCGTTCTTCTAGTCGTTTGGTAATCGACCCTGGGTTACGGATATATTAAAACATACGTAAGGGGTTCATAACGAAGTTAACTCGTTCCTTTAGTAACCTAGGACGCAGTTCATCGGGTCCTGTGGATTTGCCTATATCAAGTTTATTTAGCAGACCAAAGACATCTAGTTTTTTAATGGACACATTGTCGTGTGTGTGTGTGTGGGAGGATTTGTATGAACCGATGTGAAGAGTTTTTCTACGGTATATACATTGCTAAAGTAGTTTGAGATTACTTGAGCTTTACCAAAGTCGTCCTCCACTAATGAAGCAGCACTGTTTCTCCATCGTGCTGAAATATTTCCTCTGCTTTTAGTCCTTTGGTTTATATACGAATACAAGCGTTTAGGGCATTCGATAGCTTCCTTAACAAGTCTTTTCTCGTACAACTGTCTTAACTTTCTGAGGGTCGAGGCACGAATATTTCGAACTTCCCGATATTGAATCTTGTGTCATCATTACCCAGTAACTTAAATCTCTCCCACGTTCATCTCTTACGGAGAAGGGTATGAACATTTTTACTGAGCCACTGTGGAGATTTCCTCGACCCCCTTAGTGTAGTCCAAGAGATGTGGGTGCAGTAACTTTCATGTATAAATTTCAAAACACCGCATCCCAAGCTGTTTCAATTGTGGTCTGGCACTATTGTCCAATCTACTGACGATGTTGAATGTATAATATTTTACATATCGACGATTTGGGCAGCCAGGTTGTTTTTCTTGCTAGACAGAGGAAACTTCCTTTCTTGAATTTTCATTTAAGACAGACCTCTTTGAAGTTGGTCTTTCCTCCTTTGATCGATGCGAGTCAGCTGTTACCAAGCTTATTTGAGGTAGCTTCACATCAATTTGTGTGTCGGTAGAGCAAGTACTGTCCTATGTGTCAGAACGAGATGATTATCAAATACTTCTTGATTTCCAATGATTTTTCAGCTAATCTCAGTTTATGACAAAAATCCCCCTTTGAAAATATTTGTATAACGATTTATTGTGTTTATAAGAAAACACTTTTGCTGACAGTGGAAATATGTCTCTCCTACTGATTATTTCCAATTGTATGCAACAATTCTTATTGAATTTCATTGTTTCATTGCTCTTGTTATATTTTCTCATCATATAACTCATTTGATTGATTTATTCTTATCATTTTTCTTTAGCATCAATTTGATGAATATTTCGCTTATCCATGCACAGAAACATTACAATCGAATAATTTTAAAGTAGCTTTTTCAGTATGTCGATTTCTTGTTTCAATTGGTAATGCATTGAAATCAGATGGTGTGTCAAAACTAATTGCACCACATTTTAAAGTCAAGCTAATGAAGCAAACAGAACATGGAAGTAAGTTTAATGTCATGAAATTAGATTTTAGTTAATAGTTAGAATTTTAAACCCTACCGATAATTCCGTTTTATTTGTACTACACGAATCAATCTACTCATAAGTAGTGCATTTTTCACAATAAAAATAATTCAGTGGGTGTGGAACTCATTTTTCTGAATGTACATCCTCAACTAACTTAAAATCAAACAGATATTGAACATATGATTTTAGATGGTGAGGGAAGTCGTGTTCATCATATCCATTTTTAAGTTCTGTGCTATAATCATATTTGCTGTATATGTAAAGTAACTCTGTTCATGTATTCATCATCACCGAACTACATAGATAAAATAGGTGTCAAAAGTATGTAGTTCCAAGTTATTCGATGTTGTTTAGCCGGATTTCAGAAATCTGTTTAATGTTGAATAATTCTGCCACCATACTGAAGGTTTTTTAGCTTGCTTCTTATGGTCATCCGAAGACTTTGTTGAGTTATCGTCAAATTTACGATTGGGTAGTAATTAATTTCATGTATCTCAGGTCCTTAGTAGTGCAGATATAATGTTATCAATCGAATTGCAATGTGGCCATTAGTCTAGATGCAAGGTTGAGGTGGATGTAGTCGACTACCTGCTATCATCACAACGGATTATACATTGCTCTGATTAAGGATATTTACTACCAAATTTTATGTATAATTTCGCGATATTTTGATTTATCTATTTACTACAGTTTTCTTAATGATTCACTTGTCACTTTAAAAACAATACCCACAAGTTTAAGGATACGTATACCATAGTTGTTTCAAATAAAATCGTATTTTTTATGCTATTGAGTAGTAAGCCAACCTGGATCGATACAGTTGTATGAGTTCCTATCTTGTTGATTCTAATAGCTTGGTTGATCAATCACTGAATTACATATTCATTAGTAAAGTCACGAAACGTCTTTTTCATATTAGGTAACTTTCGAAAAATTAATGGGTCGTATTTTTTCATTTTCCGTGTTAAATATGAGTATTAGCATTTATATTTTTAAGTGAAACTCACTTAAAATAACCAGTTAGATTATTCTGTGTGTATATATATGGGCTATGGTTGGAGAACTCTAGTGTTAAACCGGTCGTTCATAAGCAAAGTAGAACCTTAATATGCATGTTCAGCGGTAAGTAATAGTGAGGTTAGACGCAGGGTATTAGGGAATAATGGTAAATCAGTTGATGAGGTTGTGAATCTTCATCGACTGAGATGGTTGGGCCACGTGTTACGTATGCCTGAACACCGTTCACGACGATGCACAATGCTGACTAGTGTTGGAGACAGATGGAAGAAAGTTAGGGGTGGTCAAACCAAAACGTGGCATCAGTCCTTAAAGTTACTAACTTCTAGTCTGAGCCATGTTGATAGATGTCGACTACTTGGTTGGTGTCCGCATGACTATTGTAACTAATGGTTGGTGACATGGTTCAGAATCGATTACAATGGTGTAGATGTATACACTCTCTGTCTTCCCTTAAACTGTGAAATGAAAATCGCTTCATATCTTTCTTTCTATGAACTAATTCTTTCTTCTTGTATTATGTCCTTATGTGCAATCTTTCTTTTATATATTAACACCATTTAATTAACTACTTCTACGAATCCGGTGTTCTTCTTGTTGTGCTAACGAGGTGTGGCAACTTGAACTGATGTATATATGTGCTTGGTTCTACGTTGTAGCTGACTGACTAACTGATTGTATTACAGAGTTGATGTTCACTCTAGGACTTCAACGAATTACATTATCTCATCAGCTGTTTGTTTGAGGTCAAGTGAATGACCACACTAAGATCTTGTATGCGTGTTTTGGAGACACAACATACATCAATGGTACGAGATTCTAGGGTTTTAGCCAATTTTGACATAGGAAGCGTACTTTGAAGACTCCAACGTGTAGTTTCGAGCGAGGTTTCAATAGACCTGAAATAGTGTTTCGCACGCTAGAATCGTCGGCCATGGTGACACTTGAGGAGGAAGTGAAAAGAGGAACTTCGAATTTGATAGTCGAGCTAGGAGGAATAATATGAATTGAAGAGAGATATTGATTATGAATATAGTGGTCTTGAGTGTTGTTGGGGGGTATGAGGGCGATTATCACTCCCCCGTAGCCCACTTCGTGGAAGGGTTCTTCTAGAGGTACCCGAGAAAGGGATTTGACTAGAGGTGGTCTTAGTGACTAGAGAGCGTGACCGAAATGTCCAAGGGACAACTGCTTGAGGTCGGTCACACACGACCTTTTTGTGAGTAATTTCCGCGTTAGCTCCGCACTTGTTGAGACCTTACTGTCGGAGACGAAAATCCGTGAGATAAGGCGAGGTGTGCATTTTTAGTGTCGACCTTTTCGAACCCCTTCCATTTTTGTGGGAAGGCAGCATCGCTTCTATGCTGGTTGTGTGATAGGGACACCTGTCACACCTCTGTATAGTCAGCAGTACGACCTCGCCTTCGGACCTTGGGTTTGTTGCTTTTAGTCTTACCGCTCTTCAACCGACCTGTCTGACATGGTAGGACTTTGAGGAACGATTGTTCCATCCAGTATAGCTCGGTTGCTTCATCACGATAGGCAAGCCCGACCACCACATCAAGGTATCAACAACGGACTCTGCAATATATGCACATTCAATTGACAAAATGCGCGATCTGGATTTCACTGCTAGCCTAACTCTATCTATTCTGCATACACTTCGTTTTCATGTGTTTTTATATCGATTATCATGTATTTGCAAAAAGTTAACTAATGGCATTTAAAAATATTTAAACATTCATCATTTAAAAGGACCTCATCATTAATCGAGCTAGCTAATGAAACTTCAATTTATTGTTAACATTGAGTCTGTTTGAATCAACTTTTCAAGGAGAGGAAATACTATGTCTAATTTTTTCTCCTTCATGATTATTTATTATTATTATATTCCAGATTATGAATATGATCACAGTTCTATGCAAACTGGACTTTTAGCTGGTTATTGCTGTTTGCTTTCTTCTACACAATCTGTACGTGAAGTGAAAACTTTAATATGAATAATTTTATTTTAATTTAATGCAGTGTTACTTACTTCCTTACTCCTGTTACCCCTCATGGAGTAGCATAGGCTGCCTACCAGCATTCTCCATCGAACTCTGTCCTGAACAATCCTTTCCAGTCGCTATTCATCCTCACATGTCTGCTTCCGATTCCCGACGAAATGTGTTCTTCGACCTTCCTCTTTCCCGTTTCCCTTCACGACTCCAAGTTAGCGCTTGCCTCGTGATGCAGTTTGATGAACTCAGCAACCTATGTCCCATCCACTTCCAACATCCTTTGCTAATTTCCTCCTCAGCTAAAACCTAGTTTGTTCTCTCCCACAGTAGGTTGTTGCTGATGGTATCCGGTTAACAGATATTGAATATCGCGTGTAGAAAACTGTTTATAAGAACTTGTACCAGTTTGATTATGGTTGTGGGTAGTTTTCCAAGTTTCAGCCCCGTGCAGCAGAACTGTTTTGACGTTCACATTGAAGATTTTTGACTTTGACAGTTGTTCTGAGTTCCATATGTTTTCTCAGGAGTTGTAAACAGTTAATACAATTTACACTAAAATAGGAGATTTGCAATCGAAACGAAATGAAGATCTAAATTGTTTACTGATCTCATAATATTGATTATATAAAATTATATCGTATTCATGCATTAATCCTTAAAATACCTTTATAGTATATAGAAAAATTAGAGGTAATGTCTTATCACATGAAAATTGAAATCCTGTTGTGATGTGTGCCACTCGTACAGACGTATATAAGTGGTATGTGTCAGGAATTAAAGTAGAATTCTTATAGACAGAAAAGGAAAAATAAAAGAGAAAGTAAAATATATAACAATCTAAATGATAACAGGAATTATTATTAATAATGGCTTTATAAAGTTGTCGGGGACAATTAAGGGAAGATGTGCAAATAACATATTATACAAATTGAGTTGTGTGATTTTGCATAATACAATAAATTGACTTGATATTGTTTGCTTCACTTTTCCGATTGATGTTAAAGTCTGCAATTGATGCATCCAACTGACGAGTCCCAAATAGGACAAAACGCGCGTCTCGAATTCAACTGCTAGCCAATATCCATATATGCTTATAATACAATAAATTAGTTTATCCTACCTTCATCTTCGTTCATTACAATGAGAAACTCGATTTGTCTGTTAACTTGAGAGTTCAATAGTCCAAAGTTGTCGAATACGCATACATCCCTGAATCAGTAATTCACTAGTTTATTATATTAAAATCTTGGAAATTCTAATCTTTTGATCAATTACTTGTGCAGTGGTGATCTAAAAACCATTAAGGTAATATTCAAGTCAAATAAATGGTGTTAAACAGTGTGTACACATTGATCTGTAAAGTTGATTAATTGATCGACGAATGAATGACATTTGTTTTATGACCTGAATTTAATTTAATATTTAAACTGACTTATTTTCCATAAAAGATTGGTTTCATCATTTCAGTGGCCATTAAACAATATTTTAATTTGAAACTACTCAATCTGTGTGAAGCACATCACGGCTTTTTATACCTTTAATTATTGAAATATTTTGGTTCATATTGATAGTGATATGTAATAAACTGACTTCTAGCTTTACATGTATATTCGACTAACATCAATCAACAGTACACGCCAACAAGATAATCATATCGATATTTCTTTCCTTCGTTTACAATTAAAATCCATATTCGTTGCACAAGCTAGTAATGGCTACCTGGATTCAGAAGCTTAGTGAATAACCCACTGACGTTCGTAACGAGAAGTACTGGGTTCTATTGTTAATGCGAACATCAACTCTACTAAATACTCGTTGCTGGTTCCATAAACTGGCCGAACGAGAATAATCTGAATATGTCCTATTTGACTTTGTTTGCTTTTTTGACAAATCCCGTTAATAACAGCGTAGATATAAAAAGTCGAACATACAAAGTATTTGAAGAACGTATATATTTTAGACATTCGGTAATACGGGAGAAAAACCAGAAATAAATCGAAATACATGTGAACTAGAGTGATGGAAATAGCCAACCCAATTTCATTCAATATGATTCAACATTTGTGATCAGATAGAAAGAGCTAGCTAACGACAAGTTATCAATGGAATAAGTAATAAACAAACATACACTCACATAAAAACTTTGAAAAATTCCCATATTGTGATTTAGAACAACAACATATATAAATGAACAATATTGTTTTCAATTAGATCCTCATCAGGCTTTACTCTAATATACAGTAATATTTATATGCACATATGAAATTATTAAACCAATCAAGGTAGTTTATGAGTCAATGATAACAGTGGAATGGATCACATAAATAAACATAATAAGTGAAAAGTGTTATGTCCCAACAAGAATAATGAATGGTAACTTTTGGGATCTACTGATGGACCAATACAAAACGTATATTTCTATTGTATAATATATATTGTATATAATTATTGAGTAACTAAACTATGCATATTCATATTCCTCTTATTATAAGCTTTATTTTGACCCATAAACTATTATTATACGTTTTACCATTATTGAGTTATACCCAGTCTATTAATTACTATCTCCCTCATTCACAGCTACATCTGGCTAATTCTCGTACAAATGTTGTTTCATATTTTATTGGAACGTTGTGGTCTGTTTGATTGGTATATAAACTCAGTATGTTTGAAATATAATGATTCATATCGCAGGGGTTCGGATTGGCGTTCTGAACTTAACTGGCTGGGCCAGGCGGAAAGCAGGACCAATCAGGACTCTAGGCTGCTCGGACGTGCTTTACGCGTCCTTGGTCCGATCGATAAGTCACTGCCCTCTAATTGGCGGTCACAAATTATAACAAAAAGTATGTATAATTCGCCTTTCCATAAAACTGCAAAGTGGCTAGTTCGAGTCCTAGATCACTTACACAAACTAGTCGTCAACAGAAGCGTGAAAGACGTTTTTAATTTTATTTCCAATGTTAGACCTCTCAAAGAGGTTATTGATAAGCTTGACTTTTATTGTCGTTACGTTAATGATACTTTCATTATTGTCGATCAGAACATTGGAAAAGAAGAACTCTTAGAACTATTTAACAACAAACATGCAGCAATTAAATTCACGCGTGAAGAGGAACTAGATAATTAACTACGTCTCCTTGACGTTCTGTTAACCAGAAAAGAAAACGGTTCTATCAGTAGAAGTGTGTATGGGGAAAGTTCTTCATCAAGTCAGTACACACATTTCTTAAGCTTTATACCCCTTCATTATAAGAGAAACATAGTGAAATATCTTGCAAATAGAGCTAAGAAAATATGCTCTGCCGACACAATTGACAAGGAATTAGAGCTCAATCATAATATGTTGATTGAAATGGGATATTCACAAGGTTTTCTAAAGAAACACTTGTGTGTAACAAACAAGAAAATAGAGACATCAATGGCTAGTAAGAAACATCTCTCCCTGAAGCTACAATTCAATAAAGATGCAGCTGGTGATGTACTACGTGATAGACTGACTAGAGCGGTGAAGAGAATGTTTAATACAGCCAACCTCTATCTATCGTACTCGACCCGATCTATGGTGATTCCTCAACTAAAGGATAAGTTGCTTCATTCTGTCACATTTATGTGTGTCTACGAATTCAGCTGCTCCTGTGGACAAAGCTGCATTGAGTGCACAAACAGACAACTGAGTCAACGAGTTAGTAAACACTTCACATGGTGGTTACGAAAGGGTATCGTTAAAACAATACGCAGCTCTGTGCTATCACACTTGGTCGATAGTGATCACGTAGTAGATAGAAATAGGTCATTGAAAGTGACTTGTCGTACTCTCGTCTTTTACACATAGCGGAAGCTACATGAATTAGAGCCAACAATCCAAATCTTTGTGATCATAAGAATTTTGTAACACCCTTATCCCTCCTTTGGCCATAATAAATGATTCTATTTATTATTATTTTCCATACTCTTCGTTTATTTTTCTTCACCCCCTCCTACCATTTTTTCCTCAAATATACGTTTCACGATTCAATTATCTGGACACTCTTAATTATGTAATCTTATACTTTTTATGAATGTTATTTCAGTGTCTATATATTTCTAATCATTAACCTATTTCCCATTATGTAACATAGATTTAAACCTTTGTTATTCTTATCACAACTAGTACATCTATCATCATACTACCAATCTATACTTTTCACTGATTATGTTTATTTATGTAATCCATTCCACTGTTATCATTGACTCATAAACTACCTTGATTGGTCTAATAATTTCATATGTGTATATAAATATTACTGTATATTAGAGTAAAGCCTGATGAGGATCTAATTGAAAACAATATTGTTCGTTTATATATGTTGTTGTTCTAAATAATATAAAAGCAGTTAACAAGTAAACCAATTAACAATGTCAAATACATATTTTTAATTAAGATGATGAACCGATTGATGTCAGACCACCATTGAAAACCTGGAAGCACTGGCAAGCCATTTCGTCCTATTGTGGGACTCTTCAGCAGTGCGCATCCACAATCCCTCTCGCAGGATTCAAACCCAGGGTCTTCAGTCTCGCGCGCAAACGCTTAATCTACTGGACCACTGAGCCGACATCAAGTGGTGTTCCACTGGTCAAGGCTTCTCACTAGAACTACGAGAATTTTCTCACGAAGCTAGTCACTATTGTGTGTTTACGATAACTCAATAAAAGATTAGATTATTTTGTTTATTAAAAAAGTTAGGATAAATCACGTAGGCACCTAATAACAGAAAATCTGCTATAACTAAAATACAACTAACTCCGACTGGCGAGTTTCGAATAGGATGAAATGTGCGTCTATGTTTTAGCTTCTAGCTATTATTCAACTTTGATACAGTCATATCGCTCAGTTTATAAACAGCTTTCAATAAATAAATAAATAAGAGTAAATTTTCTTATTACATTTTAGAAATCAGAAATAGGTCAAGTACGAATGCTGTTGACAAGTGCTATATTTTTACATGCACGTGAGGGTTTCCCACTTCATTGTATTAATTTAACAGCTTGGTGTCTTTGGTAAGTTTTCTTATTCCTTGTCAATAGTGCTTTATTTTTTCTTCAAAATTACCAGTTACATCTTAGATTCTATGGTAGTGTTCTGATTGTATGTGTTTATGTATGCCCTAACTATCGCCTACTTTGACAGGCAATGTTAATTAGTGTACAAGAGTAAGTCGAAAAAAAGTTGTTCAAACCAAAATATAGCGTCCGTTAATCAAGTTATTGATTATTAGTCTGAGCTTTGTTGGTGCATGCCGACTACTTAGCTAAGATTGGGCGTTTGCTGAATAGCCTCGATTACTTGTTGGAGGTATCGCGTGACGTTACTCAGAAGTGGTCACAATGAACCAGATGCACTAACCCTTTTTCTTATCCTAGATCTTGACTTTTACCTTTCATTTCTGTCCCTTTAAAATACTTTTTCAGTGATTAGTCTTCTTCATTATCATAGATACCACAGTAAATTTAAATCCGTTACCGTTTATCTTGTTAATTTCTTCTCATCATGCCACAATATCATAAAAACTTAGGCTACCGCATATTTTTACCGGTTTGTACGTTGATTACAACTGAGTCACTTACTGTTGCTAAGACAATATACTGATTGTTGTCTGATCGTTAGAAAGTAATGAGTTTCCCAACAGCTAACTTAAATCTCATTCCACTCTCCTCAGTTTAAGCGACGTTACTAGGCCATATATACACACATAGCGGTCCAAATCTACACTGAATACCATTATTATTAATAATGATAATGTTACTACTTTTTATTTTCTCTCTACTAACACTGGACTGTATGTATCGAACAATTTATAGCCTATACATAATTCTCATCCATTCTAAATGTACCAACAGGACGCTAGAAAAATTAGCGAATCTCCTTGTGTTGTTGTCCATAATTCAAACTTTAAAACAAATCAATGTGCTCATATAAAGCACCGTAAATACTAAGTCTATATATACATTTAGAGCACAAAACTAATTAATAAGTTAGTGATTAATTTAATGAAATTGATAGATGGTGAGATACGGGGACAGTTACTGAGTTGAAAACTGACAATTAGGACAATATAAAAAAATACCATAAATCAGTTGTTAAAAATATGTAAACTGAAAATGGCTTTCGAAACTCCTCATTTTTAATTATTCGCCCAAACTTAACAGGTGATATGTTTATAGGTTGTATTCGTCACAAATTGATTTCAGTTAGGTTACCATTGAAAATCAGTGATGACTGAATAGCTGTTTCATTTTCGTATTGGACCTAACAATGATTATTCATAATTTTGCTGGGAATCGAATATCAGAGCATTCAAGTCTTACAACAAATGTTTAACCATTAAAACCACACTGGATTAGTCAGCGTTCAATGGTTTACATTTCTGATTTCAACCACTTTACAATATAACTTGATGATAACACATTTGATTAATAAAAGTTTTTTTCTGTTCTCATTTTCACTTTTTACTCAATTTGTAGTTTAACTACGAATTTAGATATTGCTGTACAAGAAATTTTACTTCCAGCAATACGACCATGTTTAAGTTGCGCTGATAGTTCAGTTCGTCGAGCAGTAGCTAATCTACTTCATGGATTAATTGAAATTCTACGATTTATCAGTGGATCGTATAGTAATAATGATATCTCACATACGAGTACAACAACGCCAACATTCACAACACATAATGATATTTGCAAATCAAATTTATTAGGATTAATATGGCCATTTATTAGTCAAGTGACTAGAGATGATTTAACTGGTCAACGTAAACGTATTACACCGGATCAAGCTGATTGGAGTGTGTTATGTTGTTCACTTGGTCCATTGTACAGTTTCATCATGTTGATATGTGTACCATTTCTAAATTCGACTTTGTCTTCTTCCTCTGCTACTATTATTGCTGGTGGTGGTGATCCTTCTGGAGGCTCTAAAATAGAAAATATTTCGTCTTCTTCTACAACAACAATGGATACAACTTCAGCTTCAACAACAGATACATTAACAAACAACACATTTAATGAATATGCTAATTATCGCATTATGGTAAGGAGTTTACATGTAATTTGTTATTCGTATGTATTACATAACTAATAACGTTGAGCATCTCTTTTTCTATAATACTGAATAGAAACTATATTGATTATGTACAACTGATTCATTTACTTCGGTTTTTTAGAACAACTCTGAGAAAACGATAATTAGAGTCGGTTACATCATACATTTCATTTAGGCATGTTTAACAATCCAACACCCGGAATCATTAATATACGGTAACATACTGAATAACAGTTGACTATCGCCATTAATACAAATTATACGTTTTTAAAACGTAAATCAGGAACCTTTTCAAAGTTCTTGTTTTGATATGAGAAGAATAAAGTATAATTTTCGAAGCAAACAAGACAGCTCAGAGAACATAACAATAGCGACGGATACAGAAAACAAACTCACCATGCCGATATCAGATGATCAGTTTAATCGAATTCTGGAACCTATGCAGGCTCACAGCTAGGCACTCAAATTCGATTGATTAAATCCTTGACTCAACATCTCACTACCCAGTATTCTAATTCACATTCAATGTCATATACCTCTATTGATTCAGTTGCCAACAATATCCTAAATCACTCACTATCAAATAAGTGTTCCCTAGAAATTAAACTTTGCTCTTTCAAAATAAGAATAAGAATTAAGAACGAACAATATATATTTCAGTATTTATCTTTATCTTTTCAAAAGGCATTTGATTTACTTAGTTTACAATATGATTTGGTTGTTGGTCGAACGAATTCCAATGAGCAACTTAATTCTAATGTACAAAATACAGGCATAGATTATACAATGGATCGATTGATAATTTCACAACGTCGATTTTGGAATACATTAGTTAATAATCTTCTAGATTTAACTAATCGTCTTCTTCCGATATGTGGTGAAAATTTTCAACAAAATAGTAAGTTACATAATGATAACAATACTCGCTTTAGTTAATACCATATGATTTGATTACAATAATGTTCTCAGAAAAAATATATATATACAGCAATGTCATAAAATCCTCATCTTTTAAGAATTCAACTTGTGAAGTTCAAAAAATATATAGAGAAAGTTTTTAAACAGTGACTAGCTAAAACTCATATAGATCCGTAAATCTTTTCGACAAGTCTTGCTCTGATAATATCTCTTTTCATCTCCGAATTTGTTTAATGTATGAATGCTATGTTAATCGGCCCTCATTTTTTAAAGAGAGAAAAGCAAAGAGAAAAATGCACCAGCCATTTTGACGGTTCTTCTTGAATTTCTCTGTAGTTAAATTCACAACAGTGTTTGTAATCACTTTTTTTATATATGGTTATCATACTTATTGAGTCAAATAAAACAAACAATGAATATTTGTTAGAAAAAATGGTCCCCCAAAAGTGTGAGCAAGCCCATCGATATACGTTAAAATGAAAAATATAGAAACGGTTCATAAATATTGTTAAATTGGAAGTTACCCTTATGTCATACGTTGCCATCATCATATCGGGAACTGAGTGAAAAAAAGAAATGACAGGCACCTGTTTTGTTCCCATTTCGAGCCAAAGTTCGTGTGTAATAAGAACTTTAAAAAAGTTGCACTCGTGGTTATCGTTACAAGAAAGAACTAACACTTATTCATAAAACTATATAACCTGAGGTCACCTTAGAGATTATAACTTTTAAGAATTCCTTTTTTTTAGTAAATAAGTCAGTATTTAATCACCGATTTGTGATTCATTAGATCATTACTTTTAACTCCAAACGACTCGTGATAATATTTCCTAATCATTTAATGCCATCTGTAATATATTATTTACTCCCAATATGGATCGTAGATTCTCATGTTTGTTAGGCAAATTACTTGAAGTAAAATTAGGGAACTTATTTTGTGTTTTAGATAACTAATATTAGGTTGTTCAGTGATCAGAGGTAGTTTGCAGGAAAATCTACCTAGATCAGCAAGCTAAACCTGAAATCACGATGAAACTTTGTCTCCCCACAGGATTTGGACACACATCATCCAACTACAGTGCCTTAGACATTACCACTGAACTATTCGGGTGGCAAATGACCATAGTCATATTTAAACTGTGTGTTTTTTTAATGTGTAATATGTATGCTGTTATTTTTATTATATCTGTTTTTTAGATATATTACCATGGCTTTTTAATTTAGCTGAAATGAATAATTCTTTGCCGAGTTTAGAAATACGTGTTGAATTAGCTAATCATTTGTTCACAGTTTTTTCAACAGCTGCATATTGTATCCTTTTTGTATTGTTATCAATTAGACAATTATTCACAATATATTAATCTGATTAATTTTCTTTCGTCGAATATGAGAATTTTCTCTAGTAGCTGTTTCCTCATCTTATTTAAATAAGATATACATTTAAATATTTCATAGTAGTGAATAGGCCAGACCAAAACATGGTACAAGTCCATGAAGTCACTGACAAGTGGACTGAGACATGTTGGTAGGTGTCGACTATCTGGTTGGGGACCGCGAGATGATAGCAACCAATGGTTAGAGACCCTGAGTGACATGGCTTAAAATGGTTTACAATGGCGCAGGTGCATCCACTCTTTGTGTTCTTCCAAATTCTAATCTTCTGAATTCATGTCCCTTTCTTCTTTCCTCTTTCCAAACTTATTTAACTGGATTATACTCCTTGAATAACATCTTCAAACCTTAATCTTTCTGATTATTGCTTATGCTCTTACCGCCACTACGGGATTTGAATCGACTATTGCATCTCTGTGCTAATGTGGTGTGACAACTCGACCTGATGTACGTACGTACGCACGAAGTTCTACGTTTTTACTGACTGACTGATAGTAGTGAATAAGTTTCATTATGTACTATTTTCCATGTTTTTTTTAAAAAAATATCGCAAGATTGAACATTTGAAACGTGGCAATTTCAAACCCTTTTCGTCAGTGAATGGGAAAAACTGTACAAAAACACATTATACATCACCAAATTGAATGTCAACTATTTGAAAACAAATAAATATCAAGTAAGCATCAAATATCATGCTTCTCATCTTAGAACCTCGTCAGTACATCACCCTATTTAAGTTAATACATAGTTAACTTTGTCATTAAAGTAAATTTATAATCTATCATAAGATTTGTTGAAGATTAAAAGCTATCTTGGATCGTGGATGCGCACTGCTGAGAAGTCCCATACTATGATGAAACGGCCGTCCAGTGCTTCCAGGTTTTCAATGGTGGTCTAGCTTCAACTGACTCATGATTTCAATCTGTGAAATCCTACCTACATCATTTAAAATATAAATTGAATCAGGTTAAGGAAATGTCTACATATTCACCTCTGCTTATCTAAATTAACAGTTTTACAACAATATTTATGTCATATTAATGCTTATGTAGACAACTGTAAATGTAAATTTTGCTGACAAGTTATCTAATATTAAAACGAGATATATTAGTATTGCTAGAAAATTTCTAAAAGCTTAATATTCAGATGTAGTTTATCACCTAATATAAAGAGTTAAATGGTCAGAAAGGTTACTGTAGTAAAACTTGAACCTATGCATATATGTGCCTTGTCCTACGTTATAGCTGACTGATTAAGTCAGTGGAAATATATAATGACTCATTTGAATAGTAAATACTCTCGAATGAATCAATGACAATCATTTTTACTACTATTAGATTAGATCACTCTACCGATACCCTATATATATCAGATATCCAATTCATGACCAATAATAGAGAACCAGAGTATATAGTCTAGATAATACTCTATTCAACACAATTACAAAGTAGTCTACACTCAATGAGTCCATGAAAGAAAATCACAAATTAAATGGCCAGTAATCGGTATCTGTCAGTTCACGTTCAATAGTAGCTGACCACAACTTACTTTCACTAGCCATACATGAAATATGATCACAGTTCATTTCGTATTTTTAATAATTTGTTTAATCTTTTTTGAGTTATAACCTTAATCCAATTAAATTATCTTGCAACATTATAAACACAATTGTTTAACTTTAATTAAGCTGTACAAAATGAAAAAAGTTTACTTCAGTGGTTAGTTCCAGGTTTAGATCGTGTACGTTTAGATTTAATTGAAAGTGGAGATAATCGTCGTGTTCGTGAAGTAGAACAATTCTTATCTGATTTATACTCGAATCTTCGATTAAATGATCAAGGACGTTCTTCGTAAGTTATTCCTACCAAATATTATTTATTTGCCTTCAATCAATTGTAGATTACCTCCTCCTAGCAAGTACTAATTGAATGGTTACTTACTTACTTACGCCTGTTACTCCTCGTGAAGGAGGAGCATAAGTTAAGACATGGATTATCCATGCCCAACCACCACCTACTTTGATGCGTGATGCTTGCTGATGCAGAAATCAGTTGGAAGCTAGGGATAGGCAAACTAATACATGTCATCAATCTATGACAGTTATTGACTGTTAGATTGAGGCGTCTAGTTGAGTTTAGACTACCTGGTTAGAGTCTGTGATATTATTTTAGCCAATGATTGGAGACGTTGGATGACATTGCTTAAAATCGGTCACATTGTTTTAGATACATTCACTCTTTTCTACCTTTTAAGTGCTTGGAGCCCTTATAGAGTTACTGCCAGTCTCAGGTATGTATAAAAGAACAGAGTTAGGCATCCCATAGAAAAGAATCTTGCTAAAAAAATTTAACCAGAAAATTGCCGAGTTTCGAAATTATCTTATATTTTCTTATTCAACGAAATTATCCTTCCCAAATAATATTGTCTGTACCTAATCTTCCCTACTTCCACTAATAGTGTTACTATTGTTACTATGACATCTATCTTGATCACTTCGTCTCACAGTGTTGATGTGGTGGAATAACTTGAAGTGATGCACAAATGTTCTCATTTCTGCGTTGCTTATAACTTACAGGCTGATTTACATGGAACCAATGCTCGTCTTAAGGATTCTTTTCAACTGCATAACATCGAGTAATAAACTACATATGTTATAGCAAAAGTAAACTAACAATTACAATGAGACTACCTTGCATACACTATATAGAAAAGTGTTCATTTCTGTACTAAACATAGATAATGAAAGTTATTCTTTTTTAGAACTCAATTAATTTTTGCTATTGGCTACTGATTATAATTGATAATTCATGTTTCTGCTTTTATCAAACATGTTTACCTCTTGAACAATAGATATTTCGATTAATAGTGGATCTAAATGAACAGTATTAATTAAGAGAGTTATATTGTTTAATTATATCCACTAATATATTCACTGTATATATTAGGACTTCTCAGGTATCATCGTAGTACATGCGCACTGGTTTCTACATTAATGTTATCACTTTGGTCAGTGTATAAGTTATTAAATAATAAGTTTTTTATTAATTTGCAATTATAACACATACTCAAATTGAAAAAACATCTCACTGATCTCCCATGTAAACCCTCATTTGAGTATTTAAGTAGTCAAAAATGAAGATAATTTGCTTATTTTCTTAAAATAAAACATTGAATTCTAATCCATATAAATTATCTTGTCAGTTTTAAAAGGATAAATTTATATTTCACCCATATAAGATCTTTAACCTTGCGTTAAATATGATTGTTTTTCTTAGTCATATTCAGAGAACTATGACACATGGCATTTTCGTATTCGATATACTCTAAAAATCATTTCTGACCGAAATGAGAATTAGGAATTTAGTGGCTTAGAAAATTATATCACGAACTGATTTTAGTATAGACAACCATTCGAAACTTGGGAGCATTAAATAAGTGCTTCGTTTAATTATGGGACACTGTAGCAGTACACATCAACGATTCCATCAGGGATCGAACCTAGGACCATCTGGCCTCTCAGCAAGCGCTTACCTTTAGATCACTGAATCAGCATCCAATAGTTTACTTGTTTAATCCCATCGAGTGTATGATATCATGCGATAATCTTTCATTGTCATCGATGGGTAACCGCCTCACACTCAATGTGGCTGAACTCGGCTGATCACGGTTAAACCCTTGCTGCGAGGTCTGAGGGACGTAGGTGTGGAGTGTTAGTGATGAAAAACAGCTTCTTGGTTTTTCATTGGCTGTCTAATTAAGGTCATTCCTTGATGTAAACTATGAAAGTCAATAATCACCACAAACGCTCTATAATAGTAGTTCTTTATTTTTCATCAGAAACTTCAGTCAACGTAAAAGTAGAGTGGAATAATGTGTCATTTTTAATTTCAACTATATGTAACCTTGTTTTTACAGTACGCATCTTCTTAAATCCTTCTTTTTCATTTTCAGCAATTCGAATTCATCTACCGGTATACGTACTAGTGTATCCAACCGTTGGACTAAACTAACTTCATTCAATAATTCCAATAATAATAATACTGTGAGTAGTACTAGTCACAGTACTGACAGTCATAGTACTACTACGAACACTAATACTACCAATACTTTTAATACTTCTAACAATGGAATAAGTGTTACTCCAGCATTCAACACTACTTTAGATACTAGTCATAATTCACCACCAGAGATTGAAATGAAAAAATCTCAATCTCGAACAAAAAATTTACGTTTTAATTTTCGTCGACATTAGTAATATTAATCATAATAATAATGATCATTTTATCACAATCTACACATGATACACAGTTGTTTGTTTTTTTCATTTCAAATAATGAGGTAACATTCCAAGATTCTGTAATTTATGTAATTATCAGAGAAATAAAACATACATCATTTTCGAACTTACTTTTATGTTTTGGAACAATGTTATTTTCTTGTGATCTGTACTCATTACCATTATTATTATTATTATTATTATTACATATTTTTATTTATATTCATAATTGATTTGTAATTTATCTTCTTTGTAAACATGGAAATCAAGTATTTCACAAATGATACAACATAATTCTAAGTGAGTGCTTTCATTGATATATTTGTTATTGAACAATATCAACAAATATGATAATAATCGATGGTTGATTTTCTTGATTTTTCGATCATCTATTCATCGTAAAACCATGCTTCAATATAAGATTGTTATTACCATAACTGATATGAGTATTATTGACCTTATTATTGTAATTTTTATACATATATATGTATGTATCCCTAAAACTAATATGCCTTAACACATATCAGCTAGGCTGTGTTTTGTTTGTTTTACGGGTGATATTTTAAACGTTTTTTCTTTTGTTTTTATCTCGGATGTTAATCTTTTTTTTCTCCTACTTATTTACTGATTAATGTTTCTCATTGGAAGTTGGGTTTTGTAAATTTCATGTTTTGTCCTGTTGTTTTTTTTAAAGAACCGTTTTCATATGTTTATAATTGAATTAAAAAAAAAGAGAACGATCAAACCTCATAGTGATTATTTTATGTTTATTTTACGATTCTTATAAAAATCAAAATAACAACTCTACAATTTTGTTTTTGTACACAATCATAACAAATTCATGTTTTCTAATTATTATTATTATTTTTGAACACTTTTTAAAATGTTACTGTATAAAATTGATGTTTGTACGAATGCTCAATTGTTTGGGTTTTTACCCTATTCAAATTTATCTGATATTTCTTTGTATAGATGGGGTGGGAGTTTGTGATGATTGTTATAGATTATAACACAGATTCAATTTATTTAAGCAATCACTGAAAACTAGGGAATACTGGTAATTTGTTTTGTCCTGTTAAGACACTCAGTAGTTGCTCATCCATAACCCACCGGTGATGGGACCTATTCTAAGTCGAAATAATTGCAGATTGTTTCTCTTTTTTTAATTGTCTTAGGCCAGTTCGAAATGTAAACTATAAAAATTCAGTGGGTTTATAGGTATCATGGTTGTATTTTGTAGATTCAAGTAAATTAATCATTGGGTTAACTTAGTTTGGTTTCTTATTTACTAAGTCACGAAACGTCAGAAATACAATTTTTCTACTCATTGGGATATAACAAAAAATATATTTACTGCATAACAATACTTATTATATAATAATTCAGATTGCTGTCTTTCGCTTCATTGATTATTGTTATATCTCCAACCGCTCAAATTTAACAGTCAATCAATTATAAATTGATTGTTCAGTTTGGTATTAAAAATGTCTTCAGTTGTGTACATATGACAGAATGCGACTACTTTTTTTTAGTTCTTGACACATAGTTCAGTCCCGAAATTCGAACGAAGCAATTGTGCAACGACATTACATCATTATTATTTATTAACGAACTTTAGAATATGACAAAATAATAAAATTGGATAATTTTACTCTGCATCAGTGGGTCTCAACATACATAAGGGAGAAAGTAAAATCCTAAAACTTCCACATACCTTGACAATATTACCGATGAACATGGAGGATCAGATGCAGACGCAAAGGAAGGGATTAGCAAATCACGGATCGCATTTCTACAAGTGAAGAACATGTGCAACTCAAAACAACGGTCAACCAACATCAAAGTCAGGATCTTCAATATAAATGTCGAAACAGTTCTACTATACGGAGCTGAGACTTGGAGAACTACCCACAACCATAATCAAACTGGTACAGGTTTTTATAAAGTTTTCTACACACGATATTCAATATCTGTTAACCGGATACCATCAACAACAACAACAACCTACTGTGAGAGAGAACAAACTAGGTTCTAGTTGAGGAGGAAATTAGGAAAGGATGTTGGAAATGGATTGGACATACATTGCATTACCAGGCAAGCTTTAACATGGAATTCTGAAGTGAAAAGCAAGAAGGAAACCAAGGAACACATTTCATCGGGAATCGGAAGCAGACGTCAAAAGAATGAATTGCAAATGGGAACAACTAGGAAGGATTGTCGGGGGAAAAGGTGGGTGGAGAATGCTGGTGGGCGGCCTCTGTTCCTTCAGGAGGGGCAACAGGCATAAGTAAGTAAGCCTATTAATTTCAAATTAGTGACATTATTTACTCAATTCTTATTATGATAATTTTTGCAATAATCCCATATAAGTTATGATGATCTCGCAGATTACAACCAAAAAGCCTATACCTTTCTAAACAGCTGAGACAAATACTTAGTGGTTTCATAGACTAATATTGAAACTCTTTGCTTTGTCACTTTAATTCATACACTAAATAGCTATCTCTGAGATGACTTTCGACCATTACAGTCATCGATTTTGATTTCATATTAGACTAAAGGTACACGAAGAGATTGGTGGAGAATATAAAATCTATTTGCTATAATGGACCTCAGTAACAATACTTGGGATCGGACAAAATCGAAGTTCCACGTTGTTACTGACTGATCAGTTACAGCCTACACACATATCCCTTACTAGCTTAAATCGCTCAATGACTCATTCTCTTTCCTGTGTGCTTGAATCTTATCAACTCATTCGACTCTTGATACGTCTATTTTCCTCGCTGGTATTTACTCGCATTCGCATTTCTGCTAGAATTCGATGTGTGGTTGTGGCTTAGTGATATTCGCTGTACAATAATAAACTGTAGTTAACACCTCGTACTATCTTCTGAAATTTATACACTGTTAGTAAGTTATCTAGAAACAGTCATCAGGACGAGTGGTATATGAAGTCTTAAGCATTTTCAAGAAGACAGTCCACTACACGATACACGCATGTCTCAAGTTCTATGTTGCTTACGGTTTAATTACTTAACGCGTGAGTAGAAAATAGGCACTTCCTTACGCATATTACCCCTCGTGGAGGAGCATAAGCTGCCCACCAGCACTCTACATCTAACCCTGTTCTGGACAATTCTTTCCAGCTACCATTCAACCTTTTCATACCAGCTTTCAATTCCCGACAAATTGTGTTTTTTGACCTTCACTGTACATCCAGATGCTAACCTTGAATAATGCATTTTGTCCGATCCCAAGTATTGTTACTGAGGTCCATTATAGCAAATAGATTTTATATTCTCCACCAATCTCTTCGTGTACCTTTAGTCTAATATGAAATCAAAATCGATGACTGTAATGGTCGAAAGTCATCTCAGAGATAGCTATTTAGTGTATGAATTAAAGTGACAAAGCAAAGAGTTTCAATATTAGTCTATGAAACCACTAAGTATTTGTCTCAGCTGTTTAGAAAGGTATAGGCTTTTTGGTTGTAATCTGCGAGATCATCATAACTTATATGGGATTATTGCAAAAATTATCATAATAAGAATTGAGTAAATAATGTCACTAATTTGAAATTAATAGGCTTACTTACTTATGCCTGTTGCCCCTCCTGAAGGAACAGAGGCCGCCCACCAGCATTCTCCACCCACCTTTTCCCCCGACAATCCTTCCTAGTTGTTCCCATTTGCAATTCATTCTTTTGACGTCTGCTTCCGATTCCCGATGAAATGTGTTCCTTGGTTTCCTTCTTGCTTTTCACTTCAGAATTCCATGTTAAAGCTTGCCTGGTAATGCAATGTATGTCCAATCCATTTCCAACATCCTTTCCTAATTTCCTCCTCAACTAGAACCTAGTTTGTTCTCTCTCACAGTAGGTTGTTGTTGTTGTTGATGGTATCCGGTTAACAGATATTGAATATCGTGTGTAGAAAACTTTATAAAAACCTGTACCAGTTTGATTATGGTTGTGGGTAGTTCTCCAAGTCTCAGCTCCGTATAGTAGAACTGTTTCGACATTTATATTGAAGATCCTGACTTTGATGTTGGTTGACCGTTGTTTTGAGTTGCACATGTTCTTCACTTGTAGAAATGCGACCCGTGATTTGCTAATCCCTTCCTTTGCGTCTGCATCTGATCCTCCATGTCCATCGATGAAGCTATCTGTTATGACCTTGAATCGCTTTTATCCCGTCGATACTTTTCTATGACTTGACCCTGATCTGTCTAGTCTAGATTATGACCTTGACTCGATAGGCTGAGCGGCTTAACATTGAGTCTAGTACGCGTGAGTTCGAGATGGGGTAGAGAGAACTATTCTGGAACCTGATTGGTTGGCAAGCACGCCAGCGACAGAAGACAAAACAGTTGGAACACTGAACTCTGGATTCTCTGAATTCGGATTAGTGCAAAAAATGTACATGAATAAATAAGTGAATATCCCGACCACAACGTACGATAATCTGGAAAAATACAATTATGCCCGAAACTGTGAATTAGGGTAGAAAATAAGATGCAAAATATTACGTTTAAATTACAATATTTTCGGAACAAAAAAGGGTATGGTAGCGAATGATACATAGAACGAAAGCTCATGTTATGTAGAATAAGATAGGGACAAAAATAAATATAAGTGTTTTGCAAGGTTTGAATGAAATGAAATAACGTCCCAAGAAAATAGCTTCTGTAGTTGTCTGGGCTTCTTATTTCCCCGTTCACAACACTATCCACATACGTGAGATTTCACATCATCCAGAGCTTCTCCAGCAAGTGTGATTGGGTTACTGTTCCCCTGTTCTATTTGAAAAACTTAGTTTTTTTCTTTCCGAAGGCGGAGTCGTACTGCTGACTGTACAGAGCTGTGACAGCAGTAAGGTGTCTCTACCACATAACCAGCATAGCAGCGATGCTGCCTTCCCACAAAAAAGGGCGAGGTTAGAGAAGGTTGACCCTAAAAATGCACACCTCGCCTTATCCCACAGATATCCGTCACCGATAGTAAGGTCCCAGAAAGCACGGAGCTAACACGGAAATTACTTACAAAAAGGTCGTGTGTGACCGACTCCCTTGGGCATTTTGGTCACGCTCTCTAGTCACTAAGACCACCCCTGGTCAAATTCCTTTTTCGGGTACCCCTAGAAGAACCCTTCCACGAAGTGGGCTACGGGGGAGTGATAATCGCCCTCATACCCCCCCAACAACACTCAAGATCACTATATTCACAATCAATATCTCTTTTCAATTCATATTATTCCTCCTAGTTCGACTATCAAATTCGAACTTCCTCTTTTCACTTCCTCCTCAAGTGTCACCATGGCTGACGATTCTGGTGCGCCAAACACTGTCCCATGTCTATTGAAACCTCGCCACAAACTACACGTTGGAGTCCTCAAAGTACGCTCCCTATGTCGAATCGGTCCGCAGGCTTTCTTGGTTAGAACCCTAGAAACTCGCACCATTGATGTATGCTGTCTCCAAAACACGCATACAAAATCTTAGTGTGGTCATTCACTTGACCTCAAACAAAGAGCTGACGAGATACACCCTCCGTGTATCTGGTGACCTGATGACCAGTTCTAGTGGACTGGCAAGCATAGTCATAGCACCAACCATGAGGGTGGAACAAGCACTGTTAGAGTGGATCTCCGTTAACAGTCGTCTATGTGCTGTTCGGCTAAACAGCTCCGTAAGAACTCGAAAAGATAGGGACACACGTCGTTGCCTTTTTGTCGTTTCTGCCTACGCTCCAACTGACTGCAGCTCGGACGAAGTGAAATATGAATTTTACAGAAAGCTATCTGAACTTCTTCAGGAAGCTAAACGTTCAGACATAGTAATCGTAGCAGGTGACTTTAATGCCCAGATAGGTAGTTTAAACCAAACAGAAAGGCATTCAGGTGGGTATTTTAGTATTACGGCTCAGAGAACAGATAATAGTGACTGTCTGCTGCAATTGTGCTCATACAATCGTTTATTCTTACCAAGCACTAATTTTAAGCATAGAGAGAGACATCGTCTAACATGGAAACCCCCTACACCAAACTAACGATGGAATCAAATAGACCATACTGCCATCAGTTATAGTTGGAGAGGCTCGACAGAACACTGCCGCTTGCTCTGGAGTACATGTCTAGACTCTGGTCACGCTCTAATATAAACACGCATTTGCTTGCACCTCACTGAATGCAGAGACCCATTAGAATTGAACTCAGTGACGAAAAAGCCAAAAGTAGATTCCAGGAACAATTGAGGCCATACTTAGGTATTTCTGAAAACGAGGCTGACCCAGATGTTACTTGAAAAGATAAACAAACAGCTGTGGTAACAGCAGTGACATCTATAATTGATTTAAACCAAAGGGTGACGCAAACCAGTGGATTTCTACTAAGTCTACTGCACTGATAGATTCTCATAAACTCATCCCATTAGGCTCTGAACACGAAGAACGAAAACAAATCAGATCTAGGTTAATCAAGTGCTATAACTGTGACGGCAGCAGATTAAAGGAGAGCGAATTATCGATCGGACCAAAGACGCGCAAACACGTAGAACGGCCTAGGGTTCTGATTGGTCCCGCTTTCCTGTCTAGCCCAGCCAGTTGAGTCCAGAACACAAGTCTCAGCCTCGGATATATGAATCATTGTATTTCAAACACACTGTTTATATACTAATCAAGCAGACCACATCGCACCATAAAATGGAAAGTAACATTGTACAATATTGACCGGTAGGAAAATGACACGTGAAATAAGTACCGACCAATAAGAAAATAATACCATCTCCAAGTCCAAGAATAGCATTAAACTTAATAGAATAATTTTTGGGATATTTTCCTGAATATCTCAACACCAAGTCTAAGGACAACGAAAGTAAAAGAGATGGAAAACGCAGCGGTGTAGGCGACACCGTACTTTTTTTCAGACTAATAAATGAAACCAGAAGTAAGAATTTAAATGTGAGTGAGACGATCTCGGTGAAAGACGACGGTCATTTCTGCTCTCAGCCCAGGCGTTTAGAACGTTGGAGGGAACACGTTAAGGAGCGATTCAGTTGAACTTCAGCTACTTTACAACTACCACCCACCATTACCAAACAGCCTGAATGGAACATTGAAGTAGGCCCCCCAACTCTAATTGAAGTCCAGAAAGCTAATAGCTAATCTGAAACGAGGAAAAGCAGCTGGTCCAAATGGATTAGCTCCAGAAATCCTTATGGTGGCGCAATTTTAGCGATTAGGTTGACTAATATTTTAGCTAAAATCTGGGAGTTGGACGTTATCCTATCTGACTAGTTGCAACCACTGATTATCCCAATATTTAAAAAGAGGTCAAAATCATCCTATGATAACCATAGAGGGATTAGTTTGACTAATATAGCATCCAAAATACTAGCCTCAATAATTACCGGTCGCCTAACTAAGACTCGTGAACTGCAAACACGAGAGAATCAAGCTGACTTCAGATCTGGTCGTGGCTGCATCGACCATATATTCACCATTCGTCAGGTTCTAAAACACAAGCATACTTATCGGCGTCCGGCAATGATGGTCTTTCTTGACTTAAAAGCATCATTTGACTCTGTAGATCGAGTGATGTACCTCAGAAGTACATAAATCTTGTGAAGGTTCTTTACTTGAACGCTACCAGCCGAGTCAGAGCTTATGGCGAACTGTCATCTGCTTTTGCAACCTCAAGTGGTGTCCGTCAAGGCTGTCAACTATCACCATTTTTGTTCAACTTCATCGTAGACCGGCTGCTGAAAATAACGTTCTCGTCGACTAAATTTTCGGGGATCGATCTCCTCCCAGGAGTTCCACTTATCGACCTAGAATACACAGATGACATAGTCCTGTTTGGTGAAGACGCTGATAAAATGCAGTGTTTTGGGAGCACTGAGCAACAATGCTGGAATGTTTGTAATGCGTTTCTCCCCCTCTTAATGCAAATCGTTGCTTCAGTCGAACACGTCGACAACTTCACTTATCTTGGAAGTCTGATTAACCCTGATGGGTTGGTATCTGAAGAAATCTTATCAGTGATTAAGAAAGCTCGTTTGGCTTTTGCCAACTTATGTCACCTACGGCGAAGGCAAGATATCCGTCAACCAATTAAAGGACGATAATACTGAGCAGCAGTTCATTGTTACAATTTACGGCTGCAAAACGTGGTCATTAAGAGTAGAGGTTACTCGTAAGTTGCTAGCACTTGATCACAGATGTCTTAGAAATATTGTTCGCATCCGCTGGGATCACGAGATAAGTAATAGTGGGGTTAGACGCAGGGTATTAGGGAATGATTGTAACCACATAAACGAAGAGTAAGGAGGAGAGCAAGAAGTCTTGTATGACTCCGGTCCTCACTTGAAATTCGTCTGTCAGCTGCCCCCATGCACGAATTTGTAGGGTGGTGCATCGTATCAATTCCAGATGATAATGACTATCCTCTCAGGTACAGAAATCCAGCCTGTTGATCTCAAAGTTGGGTGTCTACTGAACCTTTCTCTCGGTTCAGCAACACTCTGTTGAAAACCTTTCCTGGTACCGATAGTAACGTGATGTTTCTGTAGTTTTCACATTTGCTCAGATCTCCTTTCTTTAGTAATTTGATTAGATATCCTTTCCATTCAGTTGGCACTTGTTCCTCCTCCCAAATCTTCCCGAATAGAACGTTGGACATGTTTGTAGTTGAGTTTGTGTCTGACTTTAGTGCTTCAGTTGGTATATTGTCAGGCCCTACTACTTTCACACTCCTGATTTGTCTGATGGTCATGTTGATACGCTCCATCGTTGGTGGAGTGACATCTATAGAAAAATCTTTGTGTTGCTTCGATGTCCGGTGGATTCAATGGAGCCGGCCTATTCAAGATCATCAGTGTTCTTACCCACCTGTTTCTCTATTCCCTAATCTGTCATTAGTGGTTGCATAACACTGGATAACATTCATTGTGATTCGCTCCTTCTTTGTTTTGAAGGACGCTTTCATGATCCTGAGTCCATGATTCCCATCCTATAAGTGCTTTACGTGCCTCCTTGGACAGCGTCAGAGCAACTCCCTGAGTGTGTGGATCATTTTCTTCTTCGTGACTAGAGTACAGCAGCATTTCTTCTTTTCTGTCCTGCTAGGGTTTAGTGGGTTTCACTGATTCCGAGCACTGTCAAGTCTATCTCCTCAGTTCCGTAGATATTGACCGGTCCTTCTGGTCTCCCACATTGTCTGAACATTTTATGTTCCTATAAAAATTGTTGTTCTGGTTGTTAGAAGAAGCAAAAACCTCATGACTTCCGAAGAATTTCAGCTTTCATCATGAGGGGTAATAATTCTTCCTTCAACGCAGAGGGCAGAGTTTAAATGGTTTAATTAGCTTAATCCGGTTAGCGTTTTTTTAGCAATATTTTTTTCTACGGGATGTGGTCGGTGACTCCATGCCCAACCCTCCTCCTTTATCAAAGCTTGAGACCGGCAATAACTCTAGAACAGCTACAGGCGAACTTTAAATAGGTAGTTGTGTACGAATTATTATTCAAGGTAGTCTACGCTGAGTGTTAACTTTTATTATTAAGACATCATTAAATACAAACAAGTGAATCCATATACACTAGTGGGTAAGAGTTTATGACATTCTAAAGAATAAGTAGATTATCATTTGTAAACCATGGAACCAAGAAACAAAAAGGCAACAATCCAAGTATACATTTGGTAAAGAGATGTTTTATTGAAAACGATAATGAGACAAAATCATCCACAAATAAATTGTAATATCAAGTAAATAATTAGTGTATAAAGGTGGTATCGAAGTTATTTTGAATATAAACGGAAGAAGCTACACATTTGAAAAATTCATCCTAAGCAATGAGTATGCTGAGAAAACAAAACAAGAAATTACTCGTCAGTATTATGATAAAGAAAACTGATATAGTAAGTCAACAGAAAAATCCAGCTTCTCGCAAACTTCCTAAATATCATTTATTAGTTATGCTGTTTTACAGTTTCGATAGATTAAAACTAATTTTACTATTAGTTGTATTTATTACTATGATGTGAATATTGAAAATTTTATCTTGAGATTTATTGATTCTATTCATACTACATTATCTTTGTATAACCGTAGCTAACTATCCTTCAATGCGTTCACAATGTAAAATTTTTTATTGTCCAAACTAATAAACATTAAAGTAACATTCCGATCTATACGATACACAAAGATAGTGCAAATTTAGACTAAAATCAAACCATATTATATCTACATCATTCTCAATAAAAAAAAGTAAAGATAAGTAGAATGTTATGCAAGAAAACTGAGTGGTGTAATGACCGGACTGGTCCTCATTGAAACTTCCATTGTATGTCTATTTTAATAACTTAATAATTACCTGTCAAGAGTGTATGTAATCGAAAAGATGCAGCATCAACAGATTTGTAAACCATCAACTATTCAGTTTGTGTTTCTCTGTGATTTAGATTGCCGTTTGCACCAAATATTTATTGAAGATTATTTTTAAGGATAAATCACTTAAATTATAATTCAGTCGTAAATTCCCTTGGATATTTGCACAAGGTGAGGCCACTAATTAACTTATTTTGAGGTCAGACCTACTACGCAAACTTTAAAACTTGCTATGAACATTTATAGAATGAGGCGATTTACTCATTATAAGTTTTGTTCAAGATTACTTCCGTTTTGATTCAATGTAATGATTACTAAATGTAGTATTTGTTTTCTTTTCTCGTATGATATTTTATTCTGTATAATATACGATATTCTTGTATTCCATTGACATGAACTATGCTCAGTCCGTGATTTCATCCTAATTATTAATCAAAATGGGTGTACAATCAATATATAAATGAGTGTATTTTCGACTAGGGTCATCGTCGTCGTGTTTTGGGGTTAATAAATCATCAATTATACTAGTCTTTATGTTCTTACTTTCGCGTCGTGGGAATTGCAGAGGTCCCTTGTTCTGAGTATAAGTGATAAGCGTTTCCGACATAACAATCAGCGACGACCAGATACAAAAAAGTAGCATTAAAAGAGACAAGATAATAAGCATTCAAACGACAAATTATAACACTACTGAAATTTTACCAGAGGAATAACGGTCAACCTCAAACGTTTAAACAAATCTTATTTCCATCCACGAAACTCGATGGCATCGTAAAAATGCATGAATAATTCTGAGAAACACTAACTTACGAAGATGAAACAAAACAGAACTGTACTTTTCACCATGAAAGAGGGTTAGAAATGATAAATAATCAGAGTTTCACCAATATTTAACTCATTACCAATATTTCAAACTGCTAAAAAAAAATCTAACTAACCTAATAAGTGCGTAGTTTTGGAGGGACAGTTGGACAGCTCTTAGAATCCAAGGTGGTATCAATTACAGGACGATATTCCAATTTTACAGCACCCGTTTTAACATCCTGATAAGACAGAGTATGTTTTCGCCAATGTTCTTCAAATGGCTTAGGCTTTTGTCCATCAATAGGTTTAGAGTAGTCGAATTCATCTAATCGATTAGGAAAGTCTTCACGTGCATGAGCACCACGCGATTCTCTACGGGCTTCAGCTCCAACAATAGTCTAAAATTACATAAAGTTAAAATCACATGAGACTTGGTATATTTCTCACGGTAAATGTCCTCTTCATATAACTGGAAATCTAGTCAGTCAGTCAGTTAGTAACAACGTAGAACTTCGTACGTACATTAGATCGAGTTGCCGCATCACATTAGTACAGAGATGCAATGGTCGACTCAAATTCCGCAGTGCTAGATGTAGTAAAATTATAAGCTGTAATCAGAAAAATTAGGGTTTGAAGATGTTATTCAAGGAGTATAATTCAGTGAAATAAATTTGGAAAGAGAAAAAGAAAGGGACATGAAAAATTCAGAAGATTAGAATTTCGAAGAACACAAAGAGTGGATGCACCTGCGCCATTGCAAACCATTTTGAGCCATGTCACTCAGGGTCTCTAACCATCGGTTGCTATCATCTCGCGGTCGCCAACCACGTAGTCGACACCTACCAACATGGCTCAGTCCACTTGTCAGTGACTTCATGGACTTGTACCATGTTTTGGTCTGGCCGCCCCTAGCTTTCTTCCAACCTATTACTATACCATTGGACATCGCACGTCGAGGCAGTTGGTGGTTGGGCATACGTAACACATGTTCTAGCCATATCAACTGATGAAGTTCTACTACGTCATCAATTGATTTGCCATCCTTACCTAGTACCCGTTTCCTAACAACTGCATTACTTAATCGATTGTCCCAGGATATACGAGCAATATTTCGAAGACACCTATGATCAAATACTAGTAACCTACGAATATCCTCTACTCTTACCGGCCATGTTTCACTGCCATAAAGTAGGACGGAACGAACTGCTGCACAGTAAACACGTCCTTTGGTTGATAGACGGATATCTGGCCTACGCTATAAATGACGCAAGTTGGTAAAAGCTAGTCGAGCCTTCTGCATCCGTACTGAGATTTCGTTACACACCAGACCACAAGGGCTGATGAGACTTCCAAGATAAGTGAAGCGGTCGACACACTCAACTACTTCACTCCCTATAACTAGTTCGGGTGTCGATGTAACCCAATCCTGAAGCAACATTTTGCATTTCGAGGGGGAGAATCGCATCCCGAACATGCTTGCATTGTTGCTTAGAGTGGTCAGAAGACTGCATTTTGTCAGGGTCTTCACCAAATAGAACTGTCATCGGCATATTCTAAGTCAAAAAGTGAATGTCCCAGTAGATGTCCAACCTCTGGAAATTTAGATTAGAAAAGTGTTATCTCTAAAAGCACATCAACGACAAAGTTAAACAAGAATGGAGAGAGTGGACAGTCCTGACGTACACCACTTGAGGTAATCATCAATTCTGATGACAGTTTGACATGAGCTCTCACTCTACCAGTTGTGTTCGAGTAGAGAGCCTTTATAAGGTTGATGTACTTCTTTGGTACTCCTTTCAATGACAAACACTGCCATAGAACATCACGATCAACAGAGTCGAATGCCGCCTTGAGGTCGAGAAATACTACCATTGTAGGACGTCTGAATGTGTGTCTACGTTCTAGGACCTGACGTAGTGTGAATATCTGATCTATACAAACACGTCCAGGTCGAAAACTAGCCTGATTTTCTTTAGTCTGTTCTTCATGAATTTTGGTTAGGCGTCGAAGTATTATTGAAGCTAATATTTTAGACACTATACTAGTCGAACTGATTCCTCTGTGATTGTCACAAGAGGACTTTTGTCCTTTCGTATAGACTGGCACAATCAATGATTGAGACCAGTCAGATGGGATTACGTCCAGTACCCTAATTCTACTTAAGACCTCAGTTAACCTCACTGCTAATACTGAACCACCATCCTTAAAAATCTCAGGAGTAGTAAACCTGTCAGGGCCTGCTGCTCTCCCTCGCTTCAGATTTCCTATAGCTTTTTCAACTTCGTAAAGAGTCGGAGGACCTACATTAACTTGCCATTCAGGTTGACTGGAGATCGTGGGAAACCGAAGTGTGGTTGAAGGCCAATTGAACTGATCCCTAAAGTGTTCTGCCCATCGATCCAATCTCCTGGATTGAGAATGTATAATATGTCCATCTTTCTCTGAGAGTGCTTCGCTAACAGTCGGTTTCCTAATACCGGTTTCCTTAACAAGTCTGAACAATTGTCTGCTATTACCTATTGCCGCTGCCTTTTCCATCTTTCTTGCTTTCTCTACCCACCACTGTTCACGATCATTGCGTAGGCTTCTTGTCAGCTTGCGCTTAGGCCGACTCCGCGGTTCATTATGTTCATAGCCAGATGGAATGAGTTTTCGAGTATCTATCAGTGCGATAGATGCTGCTGAGATCCAGTGTCGTTCCCTAACCTTGTGGTTTACCTTACTAGCAGATATCACTGCTGTTTCCACAGCTTTTCGGATATCATTCCATGCTGCCTCGGGGTGGGCATCATCTACATGACTGCCTAACTGTTTTTCTAATTGTTCCTGAAATATGCTCTTAGCTTGACTATCATTAAGTAGGCCCCTAAGAGGTTTCCTTGCAGCGTCTTTCCTACGTCCAGTAAGACCTGGAAATGTAGTGACAATTATTGGTCGCTTTTTAAAGATATTTAATATATACAATAGTGCACTTTTGAACCATATAATTGATCATGCAGCTCGCAAAAGAAATAATCTATAAATGGTCAGTATTAAGGAAAACGTACTTTCTACAAGAATTCTAATAAACACTGAATGAAAAGAACATAGTACTGAATATTTAATGCGAGCACCATTTACGACTAATAAAGATGACAATATCCATCAACTTAAACAATAAAGTTCGGGAAATATACTCATCCCAACTATCTAAACAGTAAATACTGTTACGTGATTTAAACTAAAATAGTGACTTCATATTGTGGATCACAGAGTTGAAAGTTTCTTTCTAGGTCAGTATCACACCTTACCTTATGGAACTCCATGGTATGGCCTTTTGAAACCCGGAGTCAGCACACTACAAACTTCTCGCAGAAAAACCTTATGTGACCGACCTAAAGCAGCTGTATCTTGAGCTCTGTAGTCACGATCCCAGGTTGCTGTGACTACTACTAACCCAGTTTCCTTTACAGACCCCTCAAAAAGAAATATCCTTCCGTGATGTAGGCAACCTGCTAGTGTGACAACCTTCCTCATACTTTTAACAGAACTAGAAATTGATTAACAGGAGGCACACAAACTTCGCATTGACTGATTGATTGACTGTGGCAGTACTAAAATCCCTGTAAGGTGCTGTAATTCTTCACCAAGTAATTTTCCATGCTTACAGTAAAATTACTCAGATTTTATACCCTTACGGTGCAATGAAATAGAAGGGGCTGAAAATGTAATAAAAACAAGTGATCTGTTTGAGCTGATACATACAATTGACTCGCTTTTTGAAGTAGCACTTAATTTAATCATATTAAGAACATAATAAGAGCTTTCTGTAGTACCGAGTAAATATGAAAAGTTTAATGCATGAATATACCATTACCTTCATCAAATAACAGAAGCAAACTCAATTTGGAGTGCTGTGAAACTGAATTGACTGTGGTGTTTTTGTTATATGGAACTATAGTTTATGGACTTAATGATCTGAAGGTTGTATTCATTATAGATTAATTGTACTTGGGAAGCCATATAGAACTAGGGAATACTGGGCAGCTGTTTTGCCCTGGCACGGGACTCCTTAGCAGTGCACATCCACGCACCTGCCTAGGATTCCACCCACGACCTTTAGGTCTTACAATGGACGCTTAACCGTTGGAATCACTAAGTCGACGTTCAGTGAATCGATTTGCGATATGGTGTGGTGATTATACAATGCTATTGATGACCTATCAGTTAACGCAGTGTAAATGGTCTATATTAGTTCAACAAAAGAGCAGACCAATACAACAGGTCATAATTTTAAACCGCAAAATTAATTATGTACACCTTTATAAACATACATACGTAGCAACTATGTTATACCACAAGGAAACATACCTGTAAAGCGTTTAGCATCAGATTCTGTAATTCTAATGCTTCCATTAGATCACTATTCCATATTTTGCTGCGATCACTAACTTTTAAATCATTCATTCGAGAAGCATATAATTCATACATTTTTCTACAGCCCTCTTTGAGAGTAGGACCATCACGAAATACTGCAGCATAGTCTTGCATTGTTCGCTGCATTTCTAATCGAACCTACGTTTGAACAGAAAATTCAACACTGTAAAATGTATGAATGAATATAGGCAAGTTGTTTGTGTGTTCGGTACATTCTTAATTATCGGAATATTCAGTAAATAGTTTCCATTTGTCAAATTTGAAAGCTTTAAAAAATAGTTGCACAGACCCTTATTTTGAAGACAGAATGAAAAAGTGATCGCATGAACCTTTACTTCACATTCATAAGACCAGATTAACCCTAATTAGTTAGGCGCCTAAGAGATACCTAAATATCTACAGAATGGTATGTAGGTTACTCAGTAGTCTATTTAGAGCTACTCCATGACCGAAACATGATCCACTGGGCCCAAGATACATCAATAGATTACAGGTAATCAACTGAAAGTGCCTTGTGTGGCAAGGAAGACTGGTTCAGCAATCTTAAGTTTAGAGTAAACCCTCAAGTGGGGAAGGTAATCTCAACAGATAAATGTGTAGACCTAAATCAACTGAAATAGATGGATCGTGTTGTATTCGTGTTATTAGGATTAGTTTAGGGAGTAACTAAGGGTGGACAGTGAAGTAATAGATTTTTCACCTGGATCAATATAAATAGATAAATAGATGCCCTTAGGATAACAGATATCATCAAATTCAAGAAAAGTCCAAATTTATCACAACAGAGATTGGTAAGTTTATTCTTTTTTATCGTGTAGCAAATCTTGAATTTAATGCATTTTTCTTTTTAACCCATATTGGCTTTATTTATTTATAGCGTGATTCTCTTCCAGCTGATAAAATACTATAATAAAATCACGATTGATCGATCACTGGGTGGTGATCAATGTCATGTGTGTCAAGTCCTTATTTAGTGCAGGTCGAATGCTATCGACCATGAGGCAATGTGGCCACCAGTCTAGGTGACTCGACACTGCGGGCACTATGTAATGAGATTTAGATGGTGGTTGGAGGTAGTCGACAGGAAACCCTGGGCCCGGGTTTCGTGCTACTTGGCACTTGTCAGCAAGGTGTATCTGTAATCTTGAGGGGACTGGTGTTCCCTGGCGGATTCGATCCCGTGTCACCCAGCTTCACAGTCAGTCGCGGCCCGGACAGCTCAGTGGTAACGTCTGTGACTGTGCAGCTGGGTGACACGAGATCGAATCCGCCAGGGAGCATCAGTTCCCTCAAGATTACAGGTACACCTTGCTGACAAGTGCCAAGTAGCACGAAACCCGGGTTCAGGGTTTCTTGTCGACTACCTCCAACCACCATCTAAATCTCATTACATAGTGCCCGCAGTGTCGAGTCACCTAGACTGGTGGCCACATTGCAACATGATCGATAGCATTCGATCTGCACTAATAAGGACTAGACAAGCAAGACATTGATCACCACCCAGTGATCAATCAATTGTAATTACATCTCAGTCCTACAGGAGGTTAGTCACGGCTCGGATAGCTCAGTGGCAACGTCTTTGACTGTGAAGCTGGGTGACACGAGATCGAATCCGCCAGGGAGCATCAGTTCCCTCAAGATTACAGGTACACCTTGCTGACAAGTGCCAAGTAGCACGAAACCCGGGTTCAGGGTTTCTTGTCGACTACCTCCAACCACCATCTAATCTCAACTATAACAAAATCCACAAAAGCTTGGTTTTTATTAAGGTCATTAATTTAAAAACTTTCAACATGTAATAATAAATAAACCACTCTGAAGAAGTCACTTACATTGTCACGAGACGTCAGAAATACAATTTTTCTACTCATTGGGATATAACAAAAATATATTTATTATTAACTCAATTTATATAAAACTATCAAGTCCAACCTTGGTATGAATACCTATTTCAACACGTAATCCAAATGCTTAAATTCACTTTCAGCTACGGGGTTTTGACAGCAAAATGGTGTTATCAAGTGGCTCGAACCCTACACTAAACTGGGAAGTGGTACATAAAACGTAAAGGCATACCGTTTAGTTTGAGGTAAAAAAAATCGATAATATTGAAAATATCTCAGTAAAAAGTTTAAAAAATGCTACAAAAAAATAAAGCTAACTCACTTGTGCAATTGGATAATTTCCATTTGCGGTCCGGAGTTTTTCATAGTTGGCGATGGAGACCTCTCCAGTATCTGGTTTTAACTCTGGACCTGCGTCTCCAGGCTTATTTTTCGCAGCAATGTCAAGCGCACATGCACGACCAAACACAACTATGTCAAGTAGTGAGTTGGCACCTAGTCTATTAGCGCCGTGAACTGATGCACAAGCAGCTTCACCAGCAGCATATAGTCCAGGAACGACCTTATCTTTTTTAGCAACCGGATCATAAGTCAGCACCTACAGAGTAATGCAACATGTACTGATATAAATTCAAGTTCTTTTCAAGTATTAGCCTTTAAAGAGAATTAATTGAGTTATTTATGTAGTAATAAAACTGAAGATAAAATAATCACTTGTTGTTAATCGTGAACATTAATTTATTCTTATGAAAGTGTTCCGGTGTCAACGTTAACGTTATATTATTCTACTTAGACAGTTTACATGGTAATTATGGACTAATCTATTCCGATACCAGTTATGATTATCTCGAATTTACGCGATTGATTAACAGACATGTACATAAAATGGTTGAGGTAAAGAAAAATAAATAGATAGTGTAAACAGTGTAGGGTGAAGCATAAGTGTACATCAGTTTACGTTGCTGCACTTCAGATCAGTATAAAACGAATTTACAATGGTATAAAAAGATTGTGAAAAAACTGAAAATGCAAAAAGTTGTAGATTGCAAACCTTTTAAGATTAAACACAATGATACGCCCAAACCTTAGGAGAATGAAAACATTTGCGATCGATTTTGAGACACATCACATCTATGTATGAAGCGACTGTAATGATAAGACGGTTTCTTGTTCAAAGACGTGAAGGGTGATTAGCAAAATACAGATCCTACTACGTTAGAACTCATGTACACTACAGACCAACAGGAAGTTCGTAATGCACGCAACCCTATAATGTTTTAACAAGCAGAATGATTTCATTAAGTATTTTAAAATCAAAGTGAGACCTTTTTATTCGGAGAAGGAATGGATGGGAAAATTGCGAATGGTAAATGATATGTTCGAAATTCCTTTATAGGTTGGTAATAAACGTCAACTTAATATAAAGTCAGCTGACTGTCAATCATCATAAATAGGAAAGTATTAATTAGTGAAACATTGCTCATCCCTTTAACTTAGTACATCTGAATGACAAGGAGGCGGAAAATAGCGGACATTGGAAAACTGCAGCCTTGAAGTAACTGAAATGTCACCTTACATTGGACAGATACAAAACAAATGGCACCCTTAGATTAAAACTTATGGTGCTTACAAGACATAGTTCAGCCTTATTACTTGTGAGAAATGTGCCAGATCCAAGTGTTTTTTCATTAGTCTCTATAGTAATAAAATGCCCCCAAATGCCCTGGTACGGCCGAGAGTGGGGAGAGTCCGCTCTCCCTCTCGAAATACTCTCACACGGCCACGCGTATATAGCCTCTGCCAGGGAAGTCCTACTCACTGCCTTCTCGTGGCGGGGGTGTTGTTTACGAAAATGAGAGGACGAAAAGCGAATGTCCGGCGCTTTAACCGGATTCCAAACCAATGGTGCACATGGGCTCCAGTATCCTGCGGGAACAAATGGCGAATGAACCAATTGTTGGTCACCGGCTTCCATGGGACTGCATCTCCTCACGATGCTCCACTGCCTTGTGGATCAGACCTTCAGGTCGAAGGCTCGGGGTGTGGCCCCCTAAGAAAACCACCTGCTTCGGTTTGGGCACCCGGGTAGTATCACAGCCCTCACACATATCGAATGAGATTTGTGTGGCGCATATGTATTTGGTGCCTCTTTGTACCATTATCTATGTGTTGAAATAAATAAATAAATAAATAGTAATAAAAACTGTATACATAGTCCCTGTCTTCAAACGGCAGAACCTAAAGGTCAACAAATGAACCAATACATTGTCAACCCCGAATAATATGAGAAAACTTGCATGTCGATAGAATTTCTTAGAGAAAATCTTTAACTAACCTGTCCTTTATAGTTTGTAGGAATTCCTCCCATATTATAGTGGACGGTAGGTAACACAGGAATGGGATCCCTTGTAACATCAACACCTGCAAATATTTTTGCTGTCTCCGATATACCAGGAAGTCGAGTGTGTAGTTGGTCTACCGGAAGATGAGAAAGTTGCAAAAATATGTGATCTTTCCTAGGACCAACTCCTCGTCCTTCGCGAATCTCAATCGTCATTGCTCTTGACACAACGTCCCGAGAAGCTAGATCTTTAGCATTAGGAGCATATCTCTCCATAAATCTCTCTCCTTTACTATTAATGAGGTAACCACCCTCACCTCGACAGCCCTCGGTGATTAAGCACCCAGCCCCATAAATTCCTTTGAAGTTACAGAAAATATCCACACTTACCTGTGGGATGAAACTGAACAAACTCCATGTCTTGATTAGGCAACCCAGCCCGTGTGACCATTGCCGTCCCATCGCCTGTACAAGTATGTGCTGAAGTACAGGAAAAGTATGTACGACCATAACCCCTACCTGATAAGAGCTAAGAAAAACGACATACCCTGTAGCAAGAACTGTATTTTTAGAACGGAAACGATGCAAAGTCCCATCCTCTAAACATACAGCAATGACACCACGACACTCGCCATTTTCCATGAGAAGATCCAATACGAAATATTCAATGAAATAAGTGGCGTCATAACGTAATGACCGGCCATATAATGTATGCAAAAGTGAATGCCCAGTTCGATCCGCAACTGCACAACAGCGATGGGCCTGACCACCGCGCCCATAGTCTATGCTTTGACCACCAAATGCTCGCTGGTATATTTTGCCGTTCTCCAAGCGACTAAAAGGCACCCCATAGTTTTCCAACTCGATAACGGCTTGTGGGGCCTCTTCACACATGTAATGAATAGCATCCTGGTCACCTAACCAATCGGAACCTTTGACTGTATCATACATATGGAAACGCCAGTCATCAGGCTCCATATTCCCAAGAGCAGCATTTATTCCACCCTGAGCAGCAACAGTGTGAGATCTGGTGGGAAATAATTTTGTTATAATTGCAGTTTTGAAACCCTCATTTGCGAGGCCAAAACCTGCACGTAAACCTGCCCCACCTGCACCAACAACCACCGCATCGAATGAATGGTCAATAATAGTGTATCCGCTAGTGTAACTTAGGTTTCGACATTTAAAAGACTGGTATAAGTTGGTTAAACGGTTCAAATTTGTAGCTTTACGGATGGCATTTAGAGAAAGTGCCAGATGAACCATACCGAGCGCGTGCTGTCAAAGAGCCAATTTTAAACCTCAAACGTAATTTTCGGATTCAGTCTTCAGTAATAAGGATAGGAGGTCTATCGACCTATATTAATCTTTGCAGTTTGTAACACTGTGGATGTCCGATCTCGTTTTGAATATATTAACAGAAGGTGCTGATATTACGTTTTCCGGTAGAGAATTCCAACAATTCACTAATCGGTTCGAGAAACGAAACTCCAAACGTAAGTGATTTGATCTCGGTCTTTGAAATTCCTTCGAATGTCCTCTCAAATGATCAGTCCTATACGGAAGTAAAAGATAAGACATGTTAATAACAAGGTCATCGTTCAGTATACGATAAGCCAATATTAGATCACCCCGTACTCTATGGTAAGATAACGGAAATGAGTTAAGGTGTCTCATTCTGTCTTCATAAGATAGGCCAGATATACCTTGTGGCATCTTAGTACCTCGTCGTTGGACTCTTTCCAGCATATCTGCTTCATACTTGAAACAAGGACTCTCTGCTTGAACTCCATATTCTAAATGTGTTCGCACATAATTCGGGTATAATAATCTAAACCTTTCATCATCTAAATACTGGAAAGACCCGCGAATAGACCATAATACCCTATAGCTTTTCGCAGCAGCAGCCTTACAGTGACTAGTGGTTTTGAGGCGACTGCTTAATATGACTCCTAAATCTTTATAGTTTCAGTTTGGAATGAACTGGTGGCTGGGTGACCTATGTCAATGGCGGTCTCCCAGTTATCCAACTTTATTTTCAAAGCATCGGCAGATGGAGATTTAATCACGTGTTAAGATGATGAATGCCACTCGTTGATGATTCAAAGAGAAAGTCGATGGTTAGTTGACAAATAATTTGTTCTGAACTTACGGACTTTTATCGAGTCTCCCCGTACATTCTCTGTTTTTGAAAACAGAAAATGTGAGGGGATATCAGACGCAAAACCATCACAAAGTAATTTAACTCTGTGATCAGGTCACCTCTGATTAGTTTAACCACACTATCTTCATACGGGAGCTTCACTATTCAGAGAATCAGCTTGATTGAGGCTCTTCTAACCTTTTCCATTAACTCACTGTATCTTTATAAGTAGAGGCTAGCCTTTTGTATAAAGATACAGAATTTGGTTTCGATGTCAAAAGGCTGGACAGCTGTGTTGAATGCACTTCTGATATCCTCCTTTCCGACAAGTTTATTGCAGACATTGACACTACCTAATCCGGTATGATTATAATGAACTGGTCAGATGACCCTAAAGTTTGAGTTAGGGGATTAATTGGAGGAATAGCAATCTAATCCACACGGGATACTCCCGTGGTTGCCAGTAAAGCTTTCGTGCCTACATGTAACACCCGTGCTATTGATAGAAGAAACCCGACTAATAGTGAATAGGTTTTTATTCGCATCTTCAATGAAATCTTACTCTTATTTGTACGGAAAAAGACATCTAGGAGAGACCTTAAGTCATGACTAGAAAACAACCCCGAATCGTAGTGGCGCATATACCAAAGGTGTTTAAGTTGTAGCGGTAAATAAATCCCCAAAATAAATAGCTCTGTAAGTCGTCAACATTGGATGCTGACCACATTAGTTTTAATGGACTCACCTAGATGAAGGCGCTCGGCCATGCATCCGCACCAGGTCACGGGTGGGAACACCGTGCTCAACAAACTCTGCAATGGCTAGCTAGTCTAGGTCAGTCGACACTTGATATTTTCATACACGTAGTTCCCTTTATCATTTTGAAAAGAGCAAGAACAAACATTCTAGCAGAATAGCATGAATGCATTTTTATTTCGTTGGTATTTTGATAGCCTATCAAATATATCTTCGAACCTCGTCGTTTCTGTCTTTTGATTTCCCTTGATTGGTATGATTCATATTAGGCGCTACTGGTGAAAGCGTTGTCAAACTCCGAATACCTGTGGCATCTTCAGAGTTATGGTATCTCTGATCTGAGGAAGACACGTCTCGGATCTTATACCTCATCTAAGTGCGATCTTACTCAGAATGTGACATACAAAGAACCAAACCACATATTATTAAAGATGCTGACACATTTGATAGTTTTCGGCTCATGAGAACCGGGTAAGTGACAGGTACTTACAAACTGTCCTGCGATGGCTGATTGAAACGCCTGAACCCTTTACTCATATCATATCGTAGAACTCCAAGTGGTCTTGTATTGGTATCCTGTACCTTAAATAGTGATCAGGACTGAAACGGAAGAAATAGTCCGAAAATCCCTCCAACGTGTTCTATCGGACAACATTGTTATTTCTCTGTCTTTTGTAAGACCTAGTATTTTGACTTTTACTCAGTTCTCTTGTAACCACGTTTTCTATTCTTTAACCTTCTGTTCTCAGGCTTTTGTTATTTGGCTTTGACTAAAGGTTTACCCTCACTAATTAGTTTTAATGTCGCATGTTTCCAGGACATCGACAATAGGGTATTGCTCGACTAAAAACAGAGTTACGGTTCAGATAATGATTGCTGACTTTCGATTACCTGCTGGAAACGGTTACCTGAATTCATATGGATAGAAACTTGATCACATGTTGTAGAGAATACCCTTATTTATTGTCGAGCATCAAACACTTATTTGTTGGCTAATCCTTTTTCTGGTAAGTACGTTATTTTGTGCCAAAGAAACGTTAAATTTTATGAAACAGGCTGTACCAAATGAGGTATTTTGTACTTTTGGTACATTTTGTTTGTTTTCTTAAATTCGAACCGTTTAGATTGAGCACTGAGTTTGTGTTTTGATGTAACTCAGTACGAGTCTCTTCGGTGATTGCATGAAACAATGATTCATTCGTAATCGATTTCTTGGTTGATTTCGAATTTTAATCACAATACATTAATCTGTGCTTTCCTAGTTCTATTTGACTTAAATTGCATTGTTTCAGGAATTCCTAGCTAATACGATAGTTTGAATGCTTCCAATCATGATAGTCTCTCAAAAACACTTTGTATGCTATAGAGAAAAACATAACTTGCTCTAATGAATGGACTTTGATTCTTTAGATTTACATTCAGATCAAATGCTTGAATCTGATCCTCCATGTTCATCAGTAATATTGTCAAGGTATGTGGGAGTTTTAGGATTTCACTTTCTCCCTTATGCATGGTAATAATAATAGTAATATATATTTCTGCATGTGCAGGTACACACTGTTTTTATAGGCATGATCTATAAATTCCAAAATGCTTCGCAACTTATTGAGTTTATAGTTGTTATAAAACCTTGAGAGGACGCGTACGTCAAGTTTGTTCCAAACGTCAGAAGTTTCATAACTGTGCTCTCAGAGCAAGATTCTGAAGAAGAAAAAAAGAGAAACAGAGGAGCAGCAAGGCACTTGGATATGAACGCCAAACGTTGCTTAACATTGTGTAGTGGAACAGACAGAGGTATAATAAACTAGAATAAATTCATATTATATCTTGTTACAGTGAAATGAAGTCAGAGGCTCCATATTAGAGAATGTAGTAATAACGAACAATGAGCTGTGTCGTTTAATGAGTTGTAGTAAGCTCACATGAAGGAAAGAAAGTCAGGGTTGGTACAAGGGAAGCGGCTTATTAGAAGGGTGTGTGTATAGAGGGTGGAGTGTTATTAATACTAATGGCTATATCTTTTGTTATCGAATTTTTTTCTTTTTCTTTTTCTTGTCTATTCGATGCCAGCCACGCAATCCTAGTGTAAAAGTCCGAGTTAGCATGTTATAGGTTGTCTTAGTGGAATAGCTAATCCAGAATATATACGTGAATATACTGATATGAGCGATTCAATGTGTTGAGATCTACAGATGCAGAGGCTGCTACTACATTGACAGTCTTGACCTGCATTTGTTGCTGTGTATGAGATAGAAGGGTTAGGTCATCTGCGAAGTCTAAATGATTTGGTTGGCCCAGAGCTGTCCATTGTACTCCCTGCTTCCTCTCTGATGTCGAGCTCTTCATAATCCGGTCGACCACATAAACAAAGAGTAATGAGGAGAGCAAGAAGTCTTGTATGACTCCGCTCCTCACCTGAAATTCGTCTGTCAGCTGCCCCCATGCACGAATTTGTAGGGTGGTGCATCGTATTCCAGATGATAATGACGATCCTCTCAGGTACATCAGTGTCGAAGAAGTTTACATATTGTTCTCCTATCCACACTGTCAAATGCTTCCTCATAATCAAGGAAGTTAATGTATGGTTCCGACGAGCTCTACTCAACTGATTTGTCCAATGATGATAATTAGTGTCGAGATTTGGTCTGTGCACGACCGATTGTTAAGAAATCCAGCCTGTTGATCTCAAAGTTGGGTGTCTACTGAACCTTTCTCTCGGTTCAGCAACACTCTGTTGAAAACCTTTCCTGGTACCGATAGTAACGTGATGTTTCTGTAGTTTTCACATTTGCTCAGATCTCCTTTCTTTAGTAATTTGATTAGATATCCTTTCCATTCAGTTGGCACTTGTTCCTCCTCCCAAATCTTCCCGAATAGAACGTTGGACATGTTTGTAGTTGAGTTTGTGTCTGACTTTAGTGCTTCAGTTGGTATATTTTTAGGTCCTACTGTTTTCATACTCTTGATTGGACCGATGTACACAAGCCCTTGTAGTATCCAAACTGCAGTTTGGGGTGCAGAATAGCCTCCGAAGTAGGTTAGACACATGCCCTTGCCCGTCGAAATCAAAACAAGTAATCGGGTAAATAGCGGATCTATAATTCATCATAAATTTAAATGTAAATCGTTACGTAAACAAATATTTCCACCCGGCTATTCAACCAATAACTGTTCAATCAATCAAATCTAAATTACAATAAATAAAGTTGACAAAAGATGTGGGAAAATTACCAGTCACAATAGATGTACGCTATTTCATCCTGACTGGATAGAACCCACACAAAAGGAGGAGCAAATCAATATGGCTGCCGTCAAGAGCAAGTATCAAGTAAAACAACATAGATGCAGTTCGGGAAGAAACACGAAA